TTATATGATCGGAGTCAATTTGTTACTGCTATCATTGCAATCTATGAGATGCATACGAACAAAGCAAAAGCAGGTTTAGCCATCTATTCTTACACTATGCCTACATATAACGTCTTCCCTAGTTTGAAAATCCCTTATAAAACATTCACACACGAAAGGGATGCACAGATATCATCTATAATCGCGTAAAGTTTAGGAAAGAGATGATGAGATAGAGGTTAAAATCATAATAGACCGGAAGATGATGACACTTTTTGTGGTGTGATTTGCTACAAGTATGGCGACCATTCAAAGGTTTAATTAAGTATTCCTCAAAACGAAAATGGTGCTAACTCTCTGGAAGTGGGGCCGTTATTGCGTAACGATTGTTTAAACATGTCGGAAAATTTAATGATTTTGGACAATTTGAAACACAAAATTCTTTGGATTTTCTGGTAGTCGGTGACAAAACAAATGACGGAAACGAAATGCCATACTTTTCCGGTGGGCCTTTTAGCCCGCCATACTCATTTGAACGTGTCGATTGTTTGTTTTTTTTTGGGTGATTTGCTACAAGCTCATTTTTTTATGGGCATCAAGTCCTCAATCAGTCATTCACGAAAATCAACCTGCCATACCGCAGCGACGGGCCCGCATAACCGCCATACCGGCACAAAGATGTCATTTTTGTTAATTGTAAACATAATATCAGGAAGGACACATCCGAAAACCAAGGTAATGCAGTTAGTTTCTGAGAAAATTAAAGAAAAATGTTGAGTCGTCAGGGAATGAAACAAACAAAACATAATCTTAGAAAGTCTGCAGCAATTCTTTAAATTGGGTCATACGTTTGGTGATCAAACCACCCCAAATTTGATTTTGTCGGTATTTTTGTGAAGAGACTTCTATAACTTTTAAAATGGTGTGTCTTTTTCTCTCTTTGCATATTGTTTTTTTTTAAAATGCTTTCCCCCTAGCTATCTAAATGAGAGTGTTTTTGTAAATTTTTTTTTAAATCAAAATTTTAAAGTACAATCGTAAACAATCGTTTGAGTAAATATCTACAAAAAGATGCTAACATGCAGAAAAATTTTTACACTTAACTTTCGTCATTTTTTAAAATCAGCGTTGATTTTGCTCATTAAGTAATTGACGGTGCTTCCGTATAATTCCGCAGGCCCTAAAAATATATATACATAATTATTTTAAATATCCATTATGAGGAAGTACAATCGTTAGTCGTATTCACTACTTGACGAATCTAAGAAATTAATTTGCGCTCGAAATTATATACGAATGCACGTAGGTGTTCAATAGGCAAACACAGTACCTACACCTCACGGTTAAATTTTTTCGAATACATGCACTTTTAAGTAAAATCTGTTAGGTGTACATAATTGCAATTGCAACCGCAATTCTGGTATTCTTTCCCGGCGTGGTAGGCATACGATTTCAACTTGAAAACATTTTAATTGATCTCATTATTTATAAATTGTGGGTGTAGTCAATACCGGCAGCAAAACGCATCTACTCGAATGCACTTTAACGAGATCTATAGTATTATTCGATGAAAATATAACGTATTAGTTGCGCGTGAATTTCCCTCCCTATTGGATATGTAAACAATACTTTCCTTTACAATACGACAGCTCAATTTTTTTATTACGTTAATTTGATGTTAGGTTTTCCATTTATATCGAAAAAAATGGCGTTCGACTACCATGATTCACAAAAACAATCGAAGTGGAAGTTGTAATTAACACAAGCCATGCTTTTACTACAATTTTAGTACATAATTCTTGTTCTAATAAAATTACAATACAAGGTAGCGTTCAAAATGAAAATTATCATAAATAGCTGCACCTTTGCAAAGGAAATCGAACTAGAACAATCGCAGTTTTCCCCTGTTTGTTTCTGACAGTCGTACGTATACTATTTGTAGACATTTATTTACAGGATAATGTTTCTGCATTCCTTTAGTAACAAAGGGTTTTATTCAAAATCCCCCAAATTCCTTACTAACAAATATATATTACATAAGTCTTTAAATAAAATTCTAGTAGCTAAAAAATTAACTGTAATTAAAATGCGCAACATAGCCATTCACTACAAAGAGGTAAGATAGAGATATTTCTATGACTGTACAGATGTAGCAGTGTAGAGTAAAACTAAAAGTACCGTCAGCATGTCCATTTTCCAAAACCGATTTAAAATACTTCGCGAAAGAAATCTTAAAACACACAACATCCACATTTGCGACTTCAATGTAAATGAAAAGGTGTTCGAAAATACTTCGCAGGACAAAGATTGCAATTAAGGCGTAGAAATTTGGGAAATTATGACCCTTAACTGGAAGTGTTAGAATGAAATATTTAATCCATTGTTGTAATTCTTGAAATTCCCTTAGAGACCTTTTAATATTGCAATATCTGAAGATGTTGGCGTCTTTGAATTCAATTGAAAATTGTAAACCACCCTAAGCTATACCCTTGCATTCCTTACATTGAACATTCACGCCAATAATCCAATGATAGATACGTGCCATTTTCATTCGCATCACGATCATTTGAAATTTATCGAGACTATACACTTATGTAAATAATATTTATTTCGAGGATTTACTCAATTTGCAGCTTAGTGCATCGAGTTAATTAGCGAACTTCAAAGCGTAATTCCCATCTCGCCCTATGCGGATTTTAAAATTATTTCATTCACAGTATAATTTTTAGTAGGTATAACCGATATTTTACAATAAAATTACATTGTAAAGAAAATAAATACCTACTTGTGAATGTAACCGGGACTACATGAAAAGAATACGCATATTGCAGAGTGATACTTGTGACAGCATATGCAATCATGGGATTAGTGTTCCAAATTACAATGAATAACAGACATCAGTGGGTCATAAGTTTCTTCATATGAATGATAGAAATACTACACCATCAAGGGTTGATATATTATGTAACAACAACATGCTTAACTTGTTTCCCCTTGGGCCTTATTTAATACCTATTATATAAACTAAGTACATCATGCATCATATAGCTGTGTTCTTTCATTTGTGTTACATAAAAAAAATGAGGCATTTCCTACGATATGAATAGGAACTAGTATAGAATAACATTGTAACATAATAACCAAAAATTATTCAAAAAGGGATGACAGCATCGTAATTTTTACGCGCTAAGTAAAACATAAAATTTGTGTTGGTTAAATTACATTAATACACAAAATAGGGTTATTAAAGGTTTTTGAACCTTACTTAGTAGAATAGTTTTCCAAGTCATATTCACTATTTACTACTTTGGAACAGGGTTTTATTCCTGTAGCGATCTTTCTTGAACATTCTCGATAACGGATTAATCACCTGCGGATGTTTCTGTGAAATATAATATACCTTCTACATTTTGCGATTTCAATGGAAAACCGAACCTAATTAGGATAAAGACAAAGTATACACTATGATACCAATGTGCTCACTTTTGGATCCCCGTTTAAAGAAAAATAACATCCCTGAGTCAGCAAAGAAACGGAGAAGAGTAGTAATACATGGCATTGAGACATTTATAGAAGGGAACTGAAAGCTTTCTCACTATACAGTAAGTTGACTTTGATTACTTGTTTATCATATTATCCTGGTCATCAAAATTTACATTACGAATTCGTTACGTAATAGTAGAATAGGTATATTGTGCTGTTGAATAATAATGCTATGGGACAATGGTTGAATTTTTTCTATTAGAAAATCACAACTTTTATTAGACATTTACCCTTGTGGGGTTAAGAAAAGTTAGACAAAAGTCTATCGTCCAGGGACTCAAAGAGTTTGGGTCCTAGCCCCTAGGTGGTATTATAGTAGGTAATGATTTATGTTATATCGAAATGTTCTGATAATGATACTAATTAAGGATTCTGGCAAACATTTTCCAAGGGGGATTCATATGCGCAGAAATTTAATGAGTGAAACTAATTTTTCTAATTGTGAATTTTCTTGATTATTGAAGTAAATTAGAGAGAACATTATATTTTCATTTAAATCCTTATTTCGCCAAGGAAACCAACCCACTATATACACTTGCAAAGCTCTATGCTCGTAACCGGATTCGTAGTTATGCAGCCAATTCATTACGTCAGGCGAGTAGGAAAAAAATCAGTCTGACTTATATCCAATGTTCTCTTGTGTCACCCACAAATACGTGACACACTTGTTCGTTTGTGTAAAAAAAAGTGAAGAGAGCACTATGCAGATATGAAGGTGGTGTGCAACGTGCAAGGGTCTTCGATTAATGATGTACCAAAGAGAAAGCAATGTGCAGGTTTAAAACAAGCTCGAGGAAGGGGAGAAGAAGGCGTGAACGATTGAACACTCGTGAAGGTACAAAGAACACCAAGAAGGCGAGAAGATACGTGGAAGCTTTCGATGTTCCGTTCTATCTTTCTATTAGATTGTCCCTTGTAAGGAGGCAATTAGTTCATCATTTGTCTAAAAAAATGAGTGACTAATTTGCTTGTTTGATTAAATGTATTAATAAATTGTCAAATTTGAGTCTACCAGTCTGAGGAGTTTGGCCCTCAACGGTCTGCTGAAGTTTATTTTGTAATTTGGTATACATATGGCATAAGTAATAAGCAGTAAAATAGAAAAAAAAATTCGTTAAGCGAAGAGTGCACTTTCAAATTTGCTTTTTCGATTTTAATAGCCCTTATGGTCGTTTCATGCCTTAACGAGAATACAAACATGAAATAATTTTTAATTTCTGATCGAATGACACCAATACCAAGTCTGTAAACGGTGTAGTTTCGGAGCTTTTGTGACTCAGACAGACATCAAGAGGGAAAGAGTGCACTTTTTATTTTTTAAAAGTGAACGTGCACTATAAAATTGGCAGCACAATTTTCATTGGTACGTATATATTGTTATATTTATTCCAACATACACACACCATATTGGGTGATGGATTGAACACGTGTCATCTTTGAGACCTGTTCCATTGTTGTATTTGGTTAATTATACTACCGAAGATAAAGATATTTTTAATAATATTAAAGTGTGCACTGACACAAATAACTCAAGTGCCCTTCACCGTAGCAACCTGATTGCAATACATTTCTAGTTTAATCTTTAGCATCATTTCGACTAACAAAAATAGGTTCGTTCAACCTCTCTGCACTACACTTAGCAATTACTACATCTTGATTTGGACGATCGTTTCTACCAGTTTCGGTTTCTTCAATTTTTCTAATCACCGACATTCCTTCAAGAACTTTACCAAAAACAACATGTTTCCCATCTAACCATGATGTTAATACAGTCGTAATGAAGAACTGAGAACCGTTTGTGTCTTTGCCAGCGTTGGCCATTGACAACCATCCCGCTCCGTAGTGCTTTAGGACAAAGTTTTCATCAGCAAAACGGGCTCCATAAATACTTCGTCCTTAAAAAAGAAAAAAATCCAACTACTGGTAAACAGGTACAATAAATTATACCCCCTGATCCGTCGCCGCGGGTGAAGTCACCTCCTTGGATCATAAATTTTTTTATTACACGATGAAATTTGCTGCCTACGTAACCCTCTCCCTTTGGTTTTTCACAGAGTTGAAAAAAATTATCCGTTGTCAGTGGAACTATTTCTCCAAATAGTCCAATGGTAACAGTTCCCACAGAGTTACCCCCGATTTCAATGTCAAACCGAACCTAGTTAGAAAAAAGACAAAGTACCTATTACAGCATATGGCATATATACCAATCTGCTCACCTTTGAGGTCACTTTTAGATCCTCGTCTGAGGAAGCGTAACATCCCACAATCAGCAAAGAAACGGAGAAAAGTAGAAAATACATAGCGTTGGGAGATTTGGAAGCGAACTGAAAGCTTTCTCACAATAATGTTAACAGTAAATTGACTCGGTGATTAGATTACAAAGGAGAACTTGTTTATTATATTATCCTGGCCATTAAAATTTACGTTACGAAATCGTTACGTAATAGTAGATTAGGTATATTATGCTTTTGAATAATAATGCTATACGACAATGGTTGATTTTTTAAAATTCGAAATCACACTTTTTCGACCTTTTTTATTGGGCAATTGAAAAAGTTGCGCAACCTAGGGGCTAAAAGAGTTGGGTTTACGGCGTCCATATCTGATCGATTCCCAATCCTGGTTGTGCGGGGCCAATGCGAATCGAACTGTAACGCACACGCACAACAGGCGAAAATGTCTCGTCGTAATTAATGCCATACATATGAGCATTACAGCATCCCTTCGCTTTGTGTCGAACAACAGTACCATCATCGGCTCGTTTCCATTAGAAGACCCATTTGATTTTCACCGGGTTATTTTCTCGGTGGGAGATCCACCAGCGTCCAAGTCTCGTTCATCGCGAATGACTCCAATTCCTGCTTTCTCTCCTCCAACCATTGTTGACTATCGCGTGATCGAAGAACTTCCTCACGAGTAAAGGGATCTCCCATACCGCAGTCACATGCGAAGTACGATACGAAACCTTCCCGAACAAGGGGACACAATTCATCGCCCTCTGGGTAAATGATATTCACTGAGGGCTCATAATTATAGTACCATCGGTTGCTTCATTAATCTAGTTTTCGATTAAATCAGTTGATTCTTCTTTAAAGCATCGACTGGGACTTGCTTCGACTTTTGTTAATTTCGATGCCCCACCCCAACTGAACATATAGGCTCGTTATCGTCACTGTCGTCAACAATAAATGATGAACCGCTTCTAGTTGCTCCTTGGGGTCAGAAACATTGCATCTCTACTGACGATTATCTTCTTGGTTGATGGATTATAAAAAGGAAATGCCCGGCATACCTGACGAAAATCATCTCAATCGCCTTGAGATCTCATTACAATTTTTAGTGGAGTTTTAAAATGATCAGTATGTACACTTTATATCTAATAAAAAAACTACGCTATTACCTTGATTACCTATGCGGAACAGTAGAGAAACTACCTTAAAATGTAGCAAAGAACTGGCACCGACGCGACGTCCCGACATCCACAAATCGGCGGAAACAAGTCGTGGGAACTTCCAAAACTGAACGTCGCCTACGATGCACTACTAAAAGACAACCATAACATCCAGGAAGGTCGTGCACGGCTTCTCGCGAATCCCACTGTACGTGCTGGAGATTGGCTGAAAGCCATACCGTCACCACAGATGCGGTGCGGGCACACATTTCTCTAATGAATCTTTTCATATTTCAGCCTCACTACTCCGTCTAGGTCTGATATCTGTGCGGGGCATAAGTCCCTTCAACCGATGACATATTGTTCAGCGAGTTCTTAGGACCGCCGAGATCCCGTCCATCGAAGAACCAGCAGGATGTTCAAGATCAGATGGAAAGAGAGTCGATGGTCGTTCCTTGAAAGAACGGTCGTAGCATGTCTAGGATTTCACTTGCCGAAACTCCTTTGCCCCTTTATGGCACTTTGTATGCCGGATACGCTGCAAGATTGAGAAAGACTGCTAAACACAAGCTCTACGCAGAAATAGAGAACCGTTTCGTTGTTGTCCCTTTGGCTTTGGAAACTACCGGAGTTAATGGAAAAGAAACGGTGGATTTGAGCAACGCAATTGGAGCAAGAATTACCAAAGTCACGGCAAGTTATCTTTTCCAAAGAATCAGCCTTGCACTTCAACGTGAAAGCTGCGCCTCAATGCTGGGAACCTTGCTCGTTGGAAAGGAGCTGGATGAGATATTTTATTTTTAAGTTCAGAACTTAAATGGTAAACGGTTAATTAATTTTTCACAAAATAAAAACTTGTATAACTACTTTACTTGAACAGGGAGGTGTATTTTAGGCGCTTTCTTTCGGTGATCCAAACGCGTTTGGATTGTAAAATCACGTTCTTTCGAAGTGTGATTTATGATCATGATTGCTAAAATCGTGAACAAACTGAACATAAAAGTTTTATGATCACGAATTCCTAACCTATAAATGCAAGGATATTTTTGCTCAAATGTTAGATTAGTCAATATTTGTAACTGAAGAGGAGCATAATCGTGCAAGTACTTCCACTTGTATTTAAATTATTTTCATAATCCAAACAAAAAATACGTAATTCGAATGCAAATGTGTGCTACGTAAACTTAACCCTACTTTAATTTAAATTCGCGCGTTCTTTCGTAAAACGTGATCCTACGAATCACGATCTTGAAATCAAGATCGCGAAGTAGCCGAAAGAAAGCGCCTTTGGATTGGCCATCCATATTGAATCAAGGGATGATTGCAATTTATGAACACACTGTATATTATATTCGTTAAATGATAGCCGCATTCAACTTTCCAGTCCTTTCCTAACCTAAAATTTTGTTAATGAAATGTCATTTTTGTGTTTGATTAAAATGCCCCAATTTTAGTAGGCTTATTTCGTTTGTCTTTCGTTTCTATTCAAGTTTAAAAATCAAAATTTCTCGTTACAATCTGTCATAACATTACTAACAATATGAGCGAATACGAAACAAGCTCTCTCGCATCCGATACAAGTAGCACTGCCCCAATTACCGATATAAAGTCTGATGTCACATTAAGCGATTCCGATCTCTTAGAAGATGTGAATACTGTAAAACCCAACGATAATGACGTTCCGAAGAAGGGCGAATGGGAGGACATACTCGGTAGCGGGAGTTTGATGAAGAAAGTAATACAAGAAGGTAAACCGGATAGTAGACCTCAACGATTAGACAACTGTATTGTAAATTATACATGCACGCTTGAGGATGGGACGTCCGTTGAGAGAAAGGAAAAGTTCAAAGTACAACTGGGAGATTATGAGGTATTTTTGAAATTACTGTAAGGGATTAAATCAATTCATCTTTTTAGGTCATTCAAGGATTAGATTTGGCATTGGGGCTTATGAATTTAGGTGAACTGAGCCAGCTTAAAATACACTCGCGACTCGCCTATGGTCAAAAAGGGTTAGACAACCTGGTTCCACCAGACACAACTGTTCATTTTGAAGTAGAGCTAGTGGCTATAGAACCGGATGACGAACCTGAACTGTTGAGTATTCAGCAGAGGAGGGTCAAGGGGTATGTTATTCTTAAGTAACGCATTCTTTGAGATAATCACGTAGAAATGACAAGCGCGAACGAGGAAATTGGTGGTACAGCCGTGGCGAAAATCAAATAGCAATACAGTGTTACCGCAGAGCTTTAGAGTACCTAGATGAAGTGGAAGGAGGAATTCAGTTTCCGACTGATGACAAGGCGAGTGTATCTGATTCTGCATTACAGCAACTTTTAGAAGACAGAATCCATGTTTCAAATAATATGGCTGCCGCACAATTGAAATTAGAATTGTATGACGCTGCACTGCAATCGCTTCAAACCGTTTTACGTTGCCAACCTGACAATGTTAAGGCATTGTTTAGAAAAGCTAGAGTAAGACTGCACTTCAGTGCAGGATTGGTGCTTATCATTCTTTCTAGGTGCACAAGGCTAAAAATGACGTTCAAACTGCATTGAGTTGCTTAAAAAAGGCTGAAAAGTTATCTCCACAAGATGCGGATATTTTGAAAGAAATTGCCAGTTTGGAGAAAATTAAAGAGAAACAAAAACAGTCGGAAAAGGAACTGGCACGCCGTATGTTTAATGGTTTGAGTAATGGGAAAGAGTCTAGGAAGAAAAAACCCTCCAGTAGCCCTAAAGTAAATTTGCAGCTTATTTTAATTATACATTCTACAATTTTTAAATTTTAGTTAATGACCATAGTTACATTGGGAGCAACAATCACAGTAGGACTACTAGGACTAGCCATTTATCGATTTAAATTTACATGACTTCCTTACCACCATTATCTCTTGGGAATGTAAACTGGGGAATTAAACAATTTTTGTTTCTATCTTCTTGTACATTAAGCATTATATTGTTTTGTGTATATTTACGCTGCATTTATCACTGAATGTTTGTTTATATTTTATCTTATTCGGTTATTGTTGAATTTTTTTGATATGTTCGTACCATTTATAAAATTTACAACTTGAAAAAAAGTATGAATTATACCAACTATTAGCATTGGTTAAACACAATGCTATGAGCCTTCCTGACCTTAGTCCAGATTCCAGACAGCAAAATATTTGAGTGTGGCTTTTGTTTATAAAATAAAAACAAAGGTATTACTGAAGATATTCTAGGATAATTATGGCTTTTACTAAAATCGCTTAAAATTCTTCATGCTGCCTTAACTGATAGTTAATGGCAACTCTCTTATATTAAAGTATAGAGGAATTGTATTTCCTCTTATCATATTGTTGTAGTTTATCATTTTAGGGAAACATTTGTGTAAATGTTTACTTAGTGTAGACTACTACAGATTGCCCTATCAATGATTATTATTATACAATGTGTATTAGGCAAATGGAATAAGTTAAGAAGTGTTTAAAAAATGCCCATCACTTAGTATTTTTTCCAAAAAAAATTTGGCTCGTGTACCAGTGGTTGTGCAACCAAAGATACCAATAGATGGCCTGAGTGTTTTTTGGAGCATGTCTCCAACGATTTATTATGGAACTTATTCCATTTGGGCCTTAGATCATATATATTCTAAGATTTGGGCTGATACACTACATACATGTTACAGAAAGTGTGATGAGCGTTGTAATGTGAAACTAAACCAACATCGTACGGAAATTACATTTGGTTTTAAATGATATAGGTTCAGAGGACGGCCTAGTCACGGATTGCTATCATCTTTTAAACGCAAAAGCTTCATCCAAGTACCCACAATTGACCTTGGAGTTGGAGTCACGTACTGAGGTCACATGCACAAATTTTCATGTCATAATCTCGGAAAGGTTATAACGACGGATTTTCCATCACAAAATTCCGAGACCGATAAAAGAGAAAAAGTCTATTTGTTGCAAGAAGTTATTTTGGTTACATAAAATTAGGCGCCCTTAAGGGGACTTTGTCATTTAAAAGTAGACATAGAGAAATACACGTACGTAATACTATGCGATCAAAAATGAGTTGCTTTCGAGTCACCCTTGGAATTTTTGTTTACATGGGAAATCGTACTTAACTTGAACTTTCAAAGGTCACTCGACAGCAACTCATTTTTGATCGCCCGTTATTAGTAACAATTCATCAGTAAACAAAAACTGATCGACCAACGCAGCGGCATGGCTAGAGCTCTATTGGGAGTCACATATTTGTGTGTTTCCAACGAAAATTTTCGGAAGGAGCTTGCTTTCTCAAACTGGGAGGGAATATGACTACCTCCACAATCTTTTGTGGTCATAAAACTACAAACATGGGTTGTCTAAATATCGATTTTAGAGTTGACTTATTTTAATGTGTCTAAGACACATATTGCACAGAATTTCAACATTTTTGCCTTTCCTATATGGCTTTTTTTATGTGGTAAAAAGAACAGGAGGGTGGGATACATCTCGCAGTTCACTCTCAGCGAACAACAAAGCCGTCTAGTCTCCTTGGGGTGGGAGGGTATTGAAATGATGCAAGATAAGCTACAATAGATTTTAAACGAAGGAAAGATAAAAGACCTTAGGAAAGGTGATGGAAGTCACACGAAAACCGGGAAAGACACATTGCAGCTCTTGCTCCAAACGCACTTTCCGAGATCCGTAACCTTAAAACCTAATCGAAACATGTATATTGTGTAATAAAAGTGGTATTTAATACCAAATTTTATTTATCGTAAGGTTTATATTAGGTAAATATCAGTATATCATCACTAAAAAAGAGTAAATTACTTAACAAATAAAGGTGTAAGTATATACATTGTGTCCAAGTTACGGCGATATCTACCATAGCGATATTTGGCCGATTTTGTTATTGTTTCTTTCTGATGTTATTTGAGCAGATACATAAAAATAAAAAAACATTTTCTCATTGGCCACTTTTTGAACTTTACAAGATAGCTTTGGAGGTTTTTAATACAATACAGAAAGTTAGAAACTATAGGTAGGTACCTATATTGATGGTTTCAACAGAACGTGCGAAAATACCTATTAGACAAATTTGGCTCTGATAACAATAATAGAAAGGGAGCAAAATAAATATAAATTATCCCTCAAAGTTATAACTGGGAGTACATACGTTATGAGTGCCAAAAGTACCTAGTAAAGCAAATGGTTTTCCACATGCACATTACGCACGTTCATTGCTACACGCATAAATTTAAATTAATTATTGAACGAGTTCAATAAAAAATCCAATAGCGTTTATGTCGAATACGGATCTGTTCCAGAATCCATTGACCTATAGTCTTAATCATATATTTCTCTTATATATATGGTCTTAATACAAATGCGCCCCTGATAAGTAACGGCGAATGAGAAAAGTAATCGTGGCAAATTCAGTATAATCATCTTCATTTCAAGAGTTTTGTTTTATGTGAAAGTATCTAATCTAATCGGTTACGAAACTAATAAAAGGTTAAATGAGTCTCTCATAACCTTTGTATATTCAGTTCCTTTCACTTCCTAGCACCGAAAAGATGTATCTCAATTTTTATATAATATTTTCATTCATTACCTTTTGCTATGGTTCTGGTTCTTCGAACTCAAAAAGCGGCCCAAAAGTAACATCACAGGTAAGTCCAAATTAGTTAATGAAACGATGATCTAATTAAATGTGTTAAGGTGACGTTTGATATTGAAATTGGAGGTGTACCGGAAGGTAGCATTGTGATCGGTTTGTTTGGCAAGACGGTCCCCAAGACTGCTGATAACTTTTTCCAGTTATGTGAGAAACCAATAGGCGAGGGATATGTAGGCAGCAAATTTCATCGCGTAATTAAAGATTTTATGATTCAGGGAGGCGATTTTACGAAAGGGGATGGAACTGGAGGTAATAATCACGTTATCATTATTTTATAACTCATTTTGTATTTAGGACGTAGTATCTATGGCGAGCGTTTTGCTGATGAAAACTTCAAGCTGAAGCACTTCGGAGCGGGATGGTTGTCAATGGCCAACGCTGGTAAGGATACCAATGGTTCACAATTCTTCATTACCACCAAGAAGACCGAATGGTTAGATGGCAGACATGTAGTTTTCGGGAAGGTGGTTAAAGGAATGGAAATTGTTAAGAAAATCGAGCAATCTAAAACTAACAGTCAAGATCGTCCTAATGACGATGTTGTTATTGTAAATTGTAAAGCAGAGCATTTAAGTGAACCTTTTTCAGTTGCTAAAGATGATGCTTCAGAATGAAGTGATAGCTTTGAATTTTGTCTAAGTAGATAACACTACCCTTTTTTATTAATATTTTTTACCTGTATTGGAAGATATTTTCTGTCCGTGAATAATAAATCTATTTTTTACATGTGAGTTTTACTCAACTGTTGCTGGTGCACTAAATTATGTACATTAATTATATTATTATCCTCGGAGGTGATTAGGTTCGAGACATTTTGCACCTTCTAGTTTTAGTGTGTTAGGATGTCAATATCTTTGAAGAAATGACTGTCCATGAAACGTTGAGAAAGTTACAGATTTTATAATTCTATTTTTATCAATTAGTAGCTAGGGTCTGAATTTTTGGTGAGCTTGTAAATGATCAAAATTGGATTAAGCAAAAAATTTTAATTTATATACATAGTCATTTTCTAAAGGGTACCTATCTATCAAAGTGACTCTGCCCCCTTTTTCGTACAGTGTCGCTGCCTTTCTGTGATATTTTTGTTTGTCATAAAAGTAAAACTCGGTGCCTATTGTAATCTTCACATATATTTTTGGAGACGAAAGACAAAGGATGTCTACAGGGATATTTGATACAAATATGCCCATATACAGTGATATTGCACTTACTACCAAAAAAGTTATTGCAGATTAGTCCACCACTGACCATTACATGCTTAATGATAGCCGAACTACAAAATTCGGTAATACTTTTCTTGGAAACCCAATATTCTTACAAAGTTTTTCAAGATATCCCAAGAATATTTTTAAGGAATATCCAAACAGATTTCATTTATTTGTGGATTTTTATTTTTAATCGTCTTGATTTTCATAGTGAGCGGAGTTTTAGCTAATAGCTGCTCTTGCTACTCAACTCACTATACATACAAATATGTAATATCAGCCATGCCTCACCTGGTGGTTGAATCCAGGGCCTTTGAAATTCCAACCTGGGCTATTTTAAAGGGAGTGCAAAACCCCTGTGTGTGGTCATGTACCCCATCTGGCGCCCCATTGGATTGTGTCAAAATTATGTCTTTTCTTTTCCTTCTATTATGTTTTATATATATTTTATACACTATCCAATAAAAGACAATTTATTATTATTATTATTAAACAAATTTATGAACAGCCTAGGAGAAAATCTTCAAGCAAATTCCCCCAAGGATCGTAAACCCTTTCAAATAAATTTGATAGGAACATTTTTTAAATGACTTTGTAAAAATATACTTACATTTCATCGTTTTCAAGAACATTCTAGGAAGTTTCCCAGGAGGTTCCTTTAGAACCATCTAATGGTTTTTGGGCCCCCAATGTCAGGGGCAGTCCTAACACCAATGACCTTCACATTTTCGAAGGACTATCTAAGACTAAGAGAATGCTCGGGACAATAAATAAAATTCTTTAAAACGGGAATAAATGAATTAATTTCCTCCAATACAATAGTGACATAACAATTAACTCGTTGTTTATTAATGATAACAATTTACTGTTTTTTTTTCACTATAGATAACACCGACCGGCCGTTGTGACCAATGAGGGTGCAGCACGTTTTAGTTTGCTGCTGAATTGTGCATGTGCAGGTGTGTCGCCACAACGGTCTTTAGTACTTCCCCCTTTGAGCCACTTTATGAAGAACAGCCCAAAGGGATTTTATCACAGTTCCAACATGTTCTCAGCATTCACCCATGTGGGGACTGACTGAAGAGATAAATAGCCATTCAGTTTCCTCCATATAGTCACAGTAGGTACGCGAGATCCTGTACTTACACAACTCTAGATTAGTTTTCTCAAGTTCCTCCAAAGCACGCTTGAAGTTTGTCACTCAAAAACTTCTTGGTTGCACCTCGTTTCGCCATGAATAGTCTCAAAGCCATGATTGCAGAGTTAATGCCATACTGTTAGCAATCTCCAAACGACTACTTAGCTCAAAGGGAAAGGCATGTAAACAAGACTTCTCCTTTTGCATTCCAACAGTTAGGTACATACTAATGGGTCAAAATAATCGACTCCTGTGTAAGTGAATGCAGAACTTCAGTAAGAATATAAAAAACAAAATAATAATCCAAGTACTATCGTCGACCTTAGGCTTCATCACCCCGAAACCCCTTTTGGTGATTCGCTCTCAGGTTTCCAGTAACAGCATTCATAAAACGCATCAGGCGTAAATCTCAAAACCGACTAATGCATTATGCGCAATAGTAGACCATACTCTTATTAGGCCATGGTATCATGCTTAGGAAGCACCGCACTCCATTTCCTCAGAGATAAACACCAAGTACTCATTTTGTAGACTGAGCTATTACTTTTACAAAAAATGTTGAATTATTAAAGAATAATATGCTTCTTTTGCAATTACAGTCCATTCATTTCATTCAAAAATAAAGAGTTTAACTTACCGCTTCACACACATCATTGGCTTTCCGCGTGTATAGCTTACAATGGAGAATTATCCACAAGTTGTAAAGTAACAGTAAACACGAGACAAAAACAAACCGAACACAAATTGAGGAGGTAAATCACTAATGCTAATAAGAAAAAGCCCCAAACGAATATGTAATTTTATAAATACACTATACAAAAACTAAATAACGTAATTATATTTAAATAAACCACTCAAAATTATGGTCTAATCAATCTCGATCACATCACCTGTAAAAACCATAAAAGGTTAAGAAAACTTATTCCGGAATAATTACCTTTCTTCTGCGTTGGGGCGATTATTGCTGATAATGTAATATTTGCATTTTGATTTAAGGATGATAGCAAATCATCACGTTCCTTATTACGAAGGTCTTCTTCATCACCATTAACTAAGTCTATAACTGATGCTTCAGTCGGTTGCACCAGGCAATTATTCGCAGATGATGGTGACCCTTCAGCACTTCTAGATACATTTCCTGCAATTGGGTTTTTAACCAATTTTTTTGGTAGAACTTTGGTGAGAGTTGACGGCAATGTATTAGACGATGACGAGCTATTCTGTACACGTCCTCTTCCAGAAGTGTTATTGACTACAATCTGTTGGACAGGTTTCAATTGTGTTACAGTTTCAGTTACTTTTGCATTAGGCTTAGTCACAGTAATCACCCTTGGTTTTTTTGGCAGTACAACTTTAACTCCTTTATGTAATCCTTTAGGAAGATTTGATGTATCAGGGTTTCTTTTGCGACCGGCCAATTGTCCAAACGTAAGAAGGTCGTTAATGTATCGATGCATTTCACTGACGTTAGAATTAACTGCTGGAGATCCTGATGCGGTGTTGTTGGAAGACGACTGAACATTGGTCGGTATTGATTGTGTAGTGGAACTGCTTGATAGCGTGGATTTCATATTAGTATTATTGATGGTAGTGTTAAGCAATGGCTGTATATTTGTTGGTACTGGGAGTATAGTAGAATTGATTGGTCCTGACAGTGTTGAAGTGCCAGTGGTAGGAATGTTAAGCGATGACTGCCCAACTGTTGGAACTGCTACTACGGGATAATTGTTTGTCCGTGACTGTGCGGTAGGGAACTTCCCATTAGTGTTATTGGTGGGAGTGTTAAGCAGTGGCTGCCTGTTTGTTGGTAATGATAGTATAGGAGAATTCCTTGGCTGTGTTGCAGTGATCTTCCCACTGGTGTTATTGGTGGTAATGTTAAGAGCTGGCTTCACATTTGGATTTGGTGGCTGCTTTTGTGGTACTACAGAATACATTGGTCTAGATGTTATTGCCCCTACACCCAACTTTCCTCTAGTATTTTCGTTGGGAGTGGTAAATGAAGGCAGCATGTTTGCGTGCGTAGATTTAAGCGATTTAGGGGTTTGTACCTGCCTTGCCGGTGCTGTAACTTTTTGAAACTCTATTGCACTATTAATGGTGGTGACCGATGGCTGCACCTTTGTCTGCACAGGTAGTTGCCCAGAATTGATTGACTGAGACCCTGCCACACTGGTTCCACTAATCTTACTGGTAGTAGCAGTATGGTGAGGCAGCACATTTAACTTAGGACCCAGCCAAGGTGGTAGAGTAATCTTCTGAGGATCAAGTGAGGGCCCATTAGTAATGGTAGAAGTGGTGAGAGATGGCTGGACGGTTGTTCGTATAGGTATTGCCGAGCTGATTGGACGAGACTCTGCCAAATTGGTTCCACTAGTATTTCCTGTGGTAGACATATTTGTTTGCATACTTTGGACCAACGTTTCAAATGAAGGAACTGTAATTTTTGTAGATTGCCCATTAACCAGCGAGGCTGGGTTAATAACAGGATGGAATGGTTTTGCAGGAATTTGAAGTTGGTGAAGAATTTCCTGCAACCTAGAGAAATAGCTCAATTTAGCTAATAAATAGTGTAACAAACAAAGGATTAAATTATGTATGAAATTCTAGAAAAATTGAAGGGGTGACCTATGTTGAACTTTTTACAGCAGATCTCTTTTATGAAGAACAGTCACCGCTAGGGAGCGAGACATTAATTTGAAAATATTGTAACAAGATATTCTGGTGAGTTCAGAAAAAATGTACTTATGTTACTTTTTGTTAATTTAAATATTCGTAGCCGCCAGTTGGAGCTTTGGATAGCGTTACATAGGGAGCCTAGTAACACAATGATCACCATATTGGGGACAAAAAAAAAACTGGACAAAATTACGCTTCTTACTGTACAGATCCGCAAGTGTGATTTGTTTAGAGACGTAATGCGCAGTAGAAAACGCGTTTGAGAAAAATAATGAGCATACCGTTTGTAAGTATATCATGCCATTTTATTCCAATTTTTCCTAGAAACAGAACAGTGTCGTACAGCGCCATAGGGATCCACCCGGGACGTCAATGACAAACTAATTGTCATTTTGTTTTATTATAAACTTTTTTTCAAACTCTTAAAATTTGTACATACCTGCACTTAAAACACATTCAAGGAAAAATTATATGCAAATTAAAACTTAATTTTCTGGAACCAAAATGTGAATGTGGTTTCTTTTTCTTTTGGATGATGAGAACTGTTTATTTTCTTATAAAATGATATAACGTAGGCATTTTCACTGTGGGTTGAGGGAGATTTGGTGTGTGAAACGACACAAGAGACGGAACAAGATTCTGTCTTGCGTGCATCAATAAGCGCCATCTGGCGGCTTTAATCCTAACTTTAATGATATTTGTCAAACTAAGGATTGTTATTATTTATCACGTACCTATTAGGAGTATTTAATGTAGCAGCTTGCTGAGCAGCTATTTTCATTTGTTGTTCCTTGTACTGCTGTTCCTCTAAAATGTTATACATTTAATAAACAAAGAGTACAATTACATAATATACTTCTTTCATTTTCTGCATTAAATTCATCCCAAGCCATCTTCATTTCGATTTCGTTCAAGTTTTCTTCTGGCAGATTTTCTAGAAGTGACTGATGTTCGTGAAATTTAAATACTTCGAGGCAGCTCTTATAAACGTTTGCCAGTATATTATCATCAGGAGGTGGTAATATTGGTCTAGGTTGATCGTATATGAACTTCGACCTGTGGTAATTGCAGAAAATGGTAGTTGAAAAAAAATGGATGTGTTACCTGTAGACTTGCTGTAAGTCTGTACTTTTGTAATGCCTAGAAATTTGCAGGCAATCAACGACGCGTGCTGAAATAGCCAACTTCGTGACTTGCCGTTCGTATACAACCTCTTCCATTGTTCCCTGAAGTAATAAATTCAGATTATAATGGTAAAAATAGATACACATCACTGATGTGTGATTGTGATATACAATATTATAGGAACAATAAAATATGTGCACATACATGCTATGTTTGCTAGTTATAACATTTTGATCATGAAAACTTACCATCGAAACCAGTCTATACACATAACACAGCTTTTCCTGTCCAAATCTATATATTCGATAAACACCTTGATCATCCACTGCAGGATTCCAATTAACATCCATTAATATAACCCTATTTGCTCCTACTAAATTAAGTCCCAAGCCGCCCACCTTAATTGTAAGAAGAAACACCCTACCGCGCGTATTTGCCTTGTCATTGAAAGTTGTGCATAACATCTCACGTTGTTCGAGAGGTGTGCTTCCATCCATTCTAAAGTAATCTTCATTACACTTCCATTGGCAGGATGATGTAGCCGACGCCTCCAAGAATTGCTGTATTGCACTCAATTCAATCAAGCTATTGCTAAAGACTAACCTGTAAGTAGTCAATGTTAGAAATAAAATGAAATATTGCAAATTACACCTACACTTTGTCGCCAATGCGTTGGCATTCATTAATAATTGCAAGCATTACTTTAAATTTTGGCCCGTACTCAACGTTTGAATCGCTATCGGGCGGAGCAAATTGCTCCCACCAGGAAAGATACGCGGGATCAATCTCAGATGATCCTTTTCTACTTTCTAGTGGGTTTTTTTCGAATTCTTTTAACAGCTGTTAACAAAGCAACACCTTAATATACATATAACATAAAAATACATTTTTGCATTATGGCTAACGTGAGATAGAATAAATAAAAAACATTTTATTGACATAAAATATATAAGAAATAACTAAATAATGGTTTTTAGAGCAACTTTTATAAAAAATAACCAATAAACCATCTATGTTTGTATCAAGCTCTTGTTACCAAACGATTTTTTTCACCTGAACGTCCACGTACACAACATCCCCGATTTAAATTAATCTCATTTACATGCATAGGAGGTTACATACAAAAAAGCGAATGTTACCTGTTTCTGTTTTAATCGGAAAAGGTACAAATGTGACCATATGTTTTGAAACTTATGATAATTCTTTATCAGGTCCCTAACCCCTACGGTATTAGAGTTTTGAGTGTCCATATCCACCTTAAAATCATACAGTTTCTTTTGTATATCGTGAAGATTAATAAATATGGCAAAGTCGCGCCTTTTAGGGATGTGCATCAATAGCTCGGAAGCTTCAAATCTCTGTACCGTATTCTTCAATAGCTTATGCAAAACGTGACTGCGTTTCTTCATTTGAATTATATCCGCTTCTGTTGAATCATCGTACTGTCCGTTTGTAATGGGGTTTGTAAAGCGATTCGTATATTCCGATTTACTTCCTAGAAGACTTGGTTTCACAACCTCAATCATATAATAATCTAATTTAAAGAGAAAATGAGTTCCTAAAATGTTTAGCAAACAAAACCTTACATTCTAATAGATTGTTTTGCAGTGGTGTCCCTGTTAAAACAATTCGACGTTTCGTTTTTACTTTTTTGAGCGCTGCAAACCGACCACCTCGTCCATTTTTTAACAGATGGCCTTCATCCAAAATAACCAGGTCAGGTCCTAAAGGTAAATACTTTAAAAACAAAATTAGACAATGATACAAATACCAGGATCGCACAATGCTTCTAGAAGTTTACAATTATTACTGATACTTTGGGTCAGCCTATTGAAACTTTCATACCCTGAAAGCATAGCGCCACCTTTCCTATACCACCGACTGATAACACTTAATTTCCTTACTGGATCCCGTTCGTCACTGAAAAAGTAATTACAGTAATGAAACGAGCACATCTTAGATTTACCTTGTGTGATATACAGAAACTAAGTGTTTGTCTCGAACATATTTAAAAGCTTCTTCGAATTCTTTCCTCCAATGAGATACAACCGTCAAGGGACAAATAATTAAGACATGCTTTGTTTTTGTCGATGGATGGGCAAATAAGGTGTGTATCAGAGTTATTACCTAAAATCACAACCTATTTTAATATTTAAAATCCCAACACAAATTAAAATATACTGTCCAAGATAAGGACGTCTATCATGGGGACCATAGAAGATACGACGATGGTCAAATTAAAGAAAAGATGCGCAATTAATCAGTTATTATCATGCTTTAAAGAAAACCAGAAAATTCCGATTACTTCTGAAGATATGCAAAAAATTAAAATGCCACTTTTTGAGCTCTACAAGACGGCGTTGAGAGATTTTCAATACAACGTTTCGTTTCTCAGAAATCATCATCACCTTTATTTTTGCCAATGGAGACACCTTATGCACACCTGCACAACATTGAGCTTATAGGAGAGTCCACGTACGTGCAGGTTCTCTTTAATTTAACCATCGGCGTATCGTCTATGGTTTCAGGGATCCCCTTGATTGACATCCTTATCTAGTACACAGTAAAAAAATACACATTACAAATTACCTGAAAGGTTTTGCCAAGTCCCATGCAATGCGCTAAAATACAGCCAGACCCCAAATCTCCAGCTGCGATTTGTTTCACACTTTCATAACAACTCTCCCACATAAACTTTACACCGTCCCTCTGATGGGGTTTTAGTCTCCCCGTTAAGTTGGGATCCACAACGACAACTGGTAAGGCGGTTTGTTCATTAATATCTAAAATAAGTCCCTCCGTTTGTTCAGGACACGATTGTGATAAGATGAGATCCATCTAAAAGTAATCTTTAATCACGAGATAAGAAATTCAAATTTATTTACATGTTTTTGTTTTTGACTTAGTCTAAGTTTCCGTTCTTTTTCGGCTAGGTTCGCTTCCTTTGTACTGTCACTTAACGTTTCATCTGCTAAAATCTAATCAACAGTGAACAACGAAAATAACCTCATTAAGCATTACCGATCTAATGTTCCTTCTTCCCTTCCCGTCAGACTTAATTACTCCCATTTCGATGTCATTCAATGTCATGCTCCTTCGTTTTTTATGTTTTTCAACGGATACGCTGCATAAGAAAATTTAATTTGCCGATAATCTATAAAAATAACTTACAATTCAATATCACTGTCCGACTCGCTGTTGATAATAATCTTGTTATACTTTTCCACAAAATCATCATCATCTGAACTGTCAGAGATGGTGCTCCCATCATCTGAATCAATTATATTTTCATTTGACTTCAAATCCCTAAATTATCAGAATTAGTACTACATCTACCAATAAAAAATTGCATCATTTACTTTGATTTTGAGCGTGCTTTTTTGGGTTTAGGATCATCCGAAGCTTTCCTTACTTTGTTTGAAGTTTTGTCCGACTGGTCGTTCAAACTAAAGTGTAACAGTCGGTCAGACTTCCAATCGTCATTTTCAGCTGGCGTTTCCTGAAATTTGCAAATATATATATATTTAATACTAAAATATGACTCGGATTAAGCAAAACATACTTCCTTAATTTCGTTGTTCACATTTTCTTTATTACTACTACGACTAGCGCTTCGTGGTTCCCCCTTGACTGGACCCGGAGGATCAATGGGATCTTCAGGAGCAATATGATCTTCAGGAGGATCGTTGGGATCCTCAGGATGATCATTGGAATCCTTAGGAGGATCACTGGGATCCTCAGGAGGATCAATGGGAAGACCGGCCATTTCATCATCCAAGGCGCCGTTCATTACAATATTCCAAGGGTGATCCTCATCGATATTTTTAATATCATCAAGGTCATGATCTGAATGTGAAGCATTTAACAATATGTCTTCTTCAATTAACGGTGTAATACTGTTCGAGTCAGAGTCAAAATCCGAACCGGACAAAATATCAGTATCTGTAGTTTTTCGTCTTTTCTCCTTTCCTTTGGAATGATTTAAACTATGCTTACGTTTTCTATCAATATTATCCAAATTTGTCAGTCTAAAAATTTAAATAATTATTATTGCACAATAACAAAAAATATAAATTAATCAATAAAAATGTTGAGATCAATCACTTTAGCAGACATTTAGGTAGAAAGTTGTAATTGTTCCATTTTGGTATTTCAGAAGCATGGTCTGAGTGACAGCAATTGAAAGCGCTTTGGAATTAGAAGAAAAATGCATACCTTTCTATCTCGCTATCAACTTTTGCGGTATTATCCCCTTCTGAATGTCTTTCAAAATGTGTTATTGTTTCCGTAACGTCAAGTTTTTCGATCAGCACATAGCAAGGTTTTATTTCTTGTTGCAACCTATCATTGTGGTCATTAATATCAGATTCCGGTGCGGGTGAATCAGGAAGTGGGGGAAGCTCATATGAAATACTGCCGTGGACGCCTTTTGGCAAATTGTACTTGTCATTAAATTCATCAGCATCACTTTCGCCACTAAAAGTACAAGTCACAGCAAGTGCTTACTTAGCCGAAACAACTTACCTGGAGGAACTATCGGGTAGGGGGGGAGAAGCATCTTGGACATGCAACAACACGTTCCACAATTCACATTCATCATTTGACTGTTGCTCTTCGTTTTCGTCTTCTTCATTTTCGCTTTTATTTGGCGTGGTTTGAGATGTAGGGGCAAGATGTAGAACATTTAAAAACTCTGATTTCAGTGGAAACTCTTCTATTGTTTTTTTATCTTCACAGTCATCACAGCCAGTAGCATCTGGTATGGCATAATCATGATCCATACACCTTTTTCCTTCTTCGTCAGGATCATTGTGACTATGTAATACTTCGTCTTCCTGTTCTTCAAAGTCATTGGGGCATGTAGCACTATCACAATCCATATGTTCCGCTTGTAATATGCTGTCTGTAAGATTGTCCTTTATATGGAAACTTACAGTACTTAATTCTTTTATATCATCTTCGGTTCCCTCCAAAAAATCTACAACAATTTTTTTCATGTTGCGATGTTGATGAAATTATTAATTATTACAGAGGAACTGGTGAATGGCGGTATACAGATTAATGGAAAAAAATTGCATGCACACAGAAATAAAATAAGAAATCCAAACCAAATGAAAACAGTCTCTTGAAGTAAAGGACTGAATACTATGTGATTTATTCGCAACAATAAACTTTGTTTGCTTTTGCACATTCACAGGCCACAAGTATTCCAGCTACAAGAGGTGAATAAGAAAATGGAACGGATTAAGAGGGAGACATTAAATATATGTACCATCTGCGGAAAGCATATCATTGGATATGTATCCTTGTAAGTCAAATACAAAAGATGACTCGGATTCTAAACTTTCCACTGAAATATTTGTGGCATTGTCATCTAAAATAAAAAAAGAATTAAAAATACAAATGTAAACTTTATACCATCACTGAAAATTACATGACTACTAATCGGAGTAAAATGTAGAGTCCGCTGGCTTTAAACGGTTATAAAAAAAAAACTACCCAACCGATTTTTATCAAATAAAGCGTAATATAATCGTCAACTATTTCTACGTATCCGTACGTAATGTCATATTTCTTGTTAAATTTGGGAAAATGTGATAGTGAAATATGTACGGGAAAGCGCGCTTTTTCAATGAAAGTATACGAACTCAGAACTTTAGGATTTAATTACAAAAAAAGTATTCACTCAAATGGGATAATGTTTACGTATGTGATAGAATACACCTTTAACTATACGTCGATACATTTTTATGCATTTCTGTATAATTACGCAAACGTTACAGCGATAAAATGACAGACGCGTTTATTCGCTTATTATAAGATACACTGACAATGACAAAAAAATGTGAAGGGCTGCAGGAAATAATATATTTTGAGCGAAAGAGATAAACGCAACACCTCGAGCGGAGTTGGGGGGAAGGTCATTTAATCGCAAAGTTGTACCTTGCAGCAACGTTTCGTATAAAGCGGCACACACGCTAAGTACACGGTTAAGTAATATATGCATGAAATTGTTATTATGTTTGCCGCACATCACACATGAAAACCGCAGGTTATTATTCATCTTGTTTCGTACGTAGAGTATTGGCTAATTTACACAAAAACAAACATCCACAAGTTGTTTTCAGACAATATGTACGCATTTATGGCGTTTGCTATTTTATTCATCTACAATAGCTACAGCAAGAATTGGGTTATGTAATACCCGAAATGTATGAATTTTCGTGGAAAAATAAACTATTTATGGACCTGTACAGTTGAGCATCGCGACAAATCACGCATTTTAGAGTACTTTTTTGTGAGGAAAATTCGATAACGTAAAAAGTCCTGGCAGCAAAAATTTACAATTTACGTATGTTAACAACAACTTATCAATTGATACGTTCCAAAAATTTCATTAATATCGGCTCCAGCGATTTTGAGATTTGAGCCTTCAAAGTGAGCGGACTCTACATTTTACTCCGATAGTAGTCATATTACATGAACTAACCAAGTTTTTTATAAAACTCCAGACAAAAATTCAAAAACTAATTCTGCAGATCAGAATATTACAATATCCCATCAATGATCAATTTAGAAGAATTAGATACAAAAGCTATTACCATTAGCGGAATTTATTGTTTCCTCTTCATCTTTTGCAGGTGCTTCACAAATTTGAGCTATTATATTGGTAGCCTGCGAAAAGACACTACAATCACTGTCGACAGATTCCTCAGACAAATCAAATATGGATGGTTTATTGATAATAACTTCTATTGGTACTGAAGATTCATTGTTGCATACTGGATTAGGTTCACTACATTGCTCAGATATTGACTCTCCTGCTTTCTCCTCTAAAAAAGACAGAACGTTTCTATTATGTAATTAGTAATTACCCAGCAACGCATATAATGCAATGTGTCCAATAATCGAATCTAATAATAATATACGGTAGGTTGTTAAAGTACAACGCTCTTCCAAAATCCATTTAGGTAGAGTATATTACCTGACCATCTCAGTGCTCAGAAGGTGTACATTGCACTGATCAGACCAACATTAAATTTATATCGTCTGGAGAGAACCCCAAACTTCCCACAGTCCTAGACGTTTCACAATAACCAAAAATAGTTTACATCAATGTCATAACGTTCATGTTGCTGGCATCACAGTAAAATGAATGTCTGTACGACTACTTGAAGACACCACTTCATATAGGTTTTTATCCAATTGTCGCCGACATGAAAAGTTTGCGTGCAAAAACGATTACATCCATTTTTTGAAATTTTTTAGTAAAAGAAAAAGCTCCATCTACTTCAATTTTGATCTAGTTCCAAGTAACTATGACTATTATTGCCGAGATTATTGCTTTAAGGGACATTCTGTTTATAGCCAGTTTTTTTTGTGAAAAAAATGTTCAAATTAAAGTTTATTTAGTACAAAAAGTAAACATTTATTTTACGAAATATATACAATGAAAAAAGATTTCTCATTGACACTTCTCCACCTCAACCTTTTTTCAGGCTTAATTAACTCTCCGTTACCCCAACGCACCAGAAATGACGTATTTTAGTCATTTGCGTAGGTATTCAATGACCCCCGCTGCTCAGTACCTTCCTAACTTACCTCGCTTAAAAATATTTACGAATAACTTTTTTGTTAATAAAAAGTAATTGGTCTCTGAGAGCAATGCGATTATTGGTAATTAAGGAAATCGTGCTACTACCGCAGGGTTAAGAAAATTCCTATACGGACCTGTACAATTTTTTGAAATAAATAATTACGTAGGACAATTAACAATTTATATATACTACGTATTTAAAAAGCAATCCAAATTCCAATGACTGAATTGATACAATTTAATAAAAAAAATGAATAGTTGACACGTTTGACATTCTATTTTTTCGCTTCGACTGTGAAGTCGACGGTATGGGTTCTTCTACATCCGTACTAGATCTGCTTTGGCGCCATCTATTACTTATATTGTGATTTAAAGTGATGGAAGAGAAACATTTTTTACGTCTTTCGGTGCTATTTTTTGGTAATTATCTTTTATAAAAACCTTGGCTTGCTAATAATAAACACATAAAAAAAAATAGAATTATCTAATTTTGTGCAGTCGTTCTGAAGTTATGCAGTACCTACATACATTTTGGCGATTCATTTTTATTATTTATATATAGATATGGATAAATACACGTAAAAACTAAGGATGTAGATAAAAAAATGCAATGGACATACTATTTATTGCGAACCAACATTATGGTACTTACCGGGTACCGTTTTATTAGAAAATTCGTCATTTGTATCAGAATCTGATAGCCGTTTAATACTCAAATTGAACTTTCGCTTTCCCAGAATTCCATCCTTAGTGTCTAATGGAGATTTCCAATCGTTGACTTCCGCTTCCCATAAATTTAAGTTGGCTTTCGTGGTTTCAATGAGGCTTTGCAAAAATCGCGGCGCTTTATGAAAATCGTTATGTGTAAACAATTGCTCTATTTTTGACTTAAATTTTAACACCTCCTCATGCGCGTTTTCGAATAATTTTAAAAATTGATTGGATAATTTAATGACATTATCTTTCATTTTCAATAGCTGATCGTCCGTGATATCATCCACATTCGATCGAGATTTACTTTGGCTAGCAGTCTCATTTTGGTAGTTACTTTGCAAATATCTCGTTCTGTTGAGCCTCCTATGGAAATCCTTTTTTTTATATCTGAAAGGGTGTAAGACTGTTACTTACTGTGATAATCCAATTACTTTCTTACAAATCGCTTGAAGCCTATGTATTGATCGAGGCCCACAAACTACACAGATCCATGGAGAATCGCTAAGCAATTTATTATATTCTTCCGGTTCTAGATTGTGTTTCAAACATTTCTGTAACGAGAAAGAAATAAACAAGCCTGTACACGCTAAGGGGCTAATCATTAGATGAGAAATTGTGGCAAGTTTGGAAAATATTTGAATCAACAGATTGTGATAGATTTTGTGGGATTTCAGTTAATTTTGAGGAAAAGCAGAAGAGATCCAGCTCGATCCAGAATTTTCAAATCAAACGCCAATCACAATCATAGTTAACGCCAACTTCGAAGAAACCCGTCCCTTCTTACGCCGAACTAACGCGCACATCGTAACATCTGCATCTCCGTTATCTTTTAAGCGACAAAATACGTGCGTTAAATTTCGTCCGATAATAAAACTTCTTATCGCAAACGAACAGATGTGTCTTACACTTTAACCTGCAACTTCACGTGTTACAATGAAATACACAAATCTAAATTAACAATTTCCAAAAGCAATAAAATTTAAACAAGAAAATATTACGCATACAAATAGACACAGAGATAACAAATTCAAGTACAATAAACCAACTCTGTGCTTATATGATAATAATCCTCCAGATGTACACTTAATGAAATGAAATATTGTCATATACAGGGTGTCCTGTCATTATTTTTGGTGTTTAGACCAAAATAACGTCTACATGACGTTGTTTACACAACATTATACTCATCCAAGTAGGTTTTGATACAAAAAAAGAGATGATATTTCATAAGACACAACAGTTACCGATACGTCTTATAATTATGTTGCTACTTTTACGCTCTTTACGGAGCAGTCGGCCATTTTTAGTAGCGCTACATATGTCAAAGTAGGGACGTGACATAAGACCCCAACTGTTACCGATACGCTACGAGGTAGCGTAGCGGTAACTGTTGTGTCTTATGAACGAGCCCAATGTCTCATTGACTTTGACGTAATTCAAAATTAGCACTCAATATAAGTTTTTAAATTATGAGCAACAAAATGTATAGGCTGTCCAAAAAGATTATTGAAATCCAAAGACCACGGACATACTCTTCACATATCCGACAAGAAAACTTAAGAGAGCATCTTTTTGAGGAGTGCCACTCAACGTCACTTAAACTTCAGGATGCAGTCGACATTTCAATGGTTCAATAAAGCACAATAAAATAAAAACATGACTGAGACCTACAAGGTAAACCTAAGGCAATACAACAAGTGTCAACTTTACTGCTGCATTTGACACTTCGATAATTGCAGCAATACCTACCAATCGTATGAATTCTGGTTGATCCTAACAAATAACATTTTGGTTGAAAGTTTATTTTTGAGTCACGTGAGTTTTCCTTATTTTTTATTGTCTCCAACCACTATTTGAATTCATAACTGTTACTGTAGGGCTGTATCGAAAATAAATTTGCGGTACGTTATAAGGAAATGATTAGCCCCTTGATACATAATTAAGTAAAATATACCTAGGTACTACTCACCACACAGAATTTATCAGTACACAGGCTACAAGATTTCAAGTCGCCAGTCTTAAAACACCAGAGACACAAGTTTTGTGTTCTATCTAATTTGGTTTTATGGTCGTATATAAAATGACTATGACACTTTTGACAAACGAGAACTCTTAAAATTGGATGAGAAGTCATGGAATTGTTTAATATTTCTTCATGGCCAATTTGGCTCCTGCAGACTGTGCAAGTGTAGCACCATTCATCGTTCTCATCTACAAACAATATGTTAGGTTAGCGAAGTTCACACGCAAATAAACGCTTACCATCGGTTCCATTTAAGTTCATTTTGCAATATCCAGGGAATGTAAGGGTATGTAAAGAGCCTAATATCTATTTGTTATGAGGAATTCTGCATTTTACATTGGTAGACAAATTGTAAACATACACCTTTAGTTCACAATGGCTACATAACCACAGAATACGGCCTTCTCAGAATAGAAACAGCAATGTTACAAATTTGTATGGTATTTTGGCGGACCCTGGTGGGTGTACTGTGAACTAAAGCATCAAAATCAGAGCAGCGCCATCTGGTGACCAGCCATGAAGTAATTTCCCCAATTCGATCCAATTCATAAATATCGATAAAGAATACACAGTTGTTAAATTAATAGTTATTTGTGTACCAAGGCCGTAAAAGTGATCTTTTTTGCCCGAAGCTGCTGTTTGTGGCCGAGGCGGTAGCCGAGGCCGCAATTCAGATGAGGCCTAACAAATCACTTTTGGCCAAGGTGCACACAACATTTTTTAGGCGATCATCAAAAAAGAATTCAAAAATTTGCTCATAAACATATTTTTTCTGAAAATCATAGTTATCTTAGACAATTAAAAACAAAGCATTTCCTGTCATATGTAATTATAATTAGCATCTTTGCGTGTGTTTTGTGCGTATCAAAATGGGTGATAGCGACAGTTCAGATACCCCAAATGAAATTTTGGAAGCTGCAAGCGTTGCGCTTGCGACCCTAAGTCATATATGATATAAAAGCAGGCGTTTGAGAGTAAAAGTACAATCGCAACTTCCTCGGTTGCACAAGATTTTAATAATGTCAAATGCAATAGGTCCTTCGTAACTGTGGCTTCCAAGACCTTATAGTTAACGTACAATTATTAGAAACCTGATTACCTACTTTGATGGTAGGTATAGGTAGCTACTTGTGTTCTCGGTTAATTGCTGGTGATTCTTCGTATAATAATGTAAGCAATAACATCTTCCTCATGTTTTGGTTCTACACTTCAAAAAGGTCTCTGCAAGCAGCAAAGATTGAAACGTCAAACTATAATTTTAAATGTGAACATTGTGATTACGCAAAATAGTGTGAAACATTCCTACAAGTCTGAAAATGAAAAAAACGCACGTGGATGGACCCAATCCTTGATGAGGACAGACCAGATAGACGTTTTCTATCAAACAGATTACTGGTTCTCACACATCAGTTTCAAATAAGTACAGTTTGACAGATGTGTACAATAAAGTAAAGTTTGACAGAAGCGTACAATAAAGTGAAACTTTATGGCCGCAAAAGCGACCACAAAATCAACGTTTTTGTGATGATAGCCTAAAAAGTGTATTTAGATACAATCACATTACATTATTTAACACATCAGAGAACTTAAATTACATGTTTACAAATTACATATAAAACTCAGAAGTGAGTGGAACTTACGCTTTGTAGATGTTAACACTATGCAGAAAGATCCTTACATAACGATTTGTCGTACGAAATATTTGGTTTTAATTGCTGTTTGGACTACATATTTTTGTTAAAAAATATCTTTAGAACTAAATTTTTTGTTCCAAGAGGTAATAAAACCGTTTCAGCAAATTGTCACACAAGTTTTTGACAACAAATGTTAACTTGATCCTGGTGCTTACTTGTTACTTGAGAAGCGAGGGTGGAAGTTGTTGAATTATCTAAAACGTATTTTTTATTCATTATCTAAAAGGAATTACAATATAAGTATCTACGTCTATATAAATATAAAACTTAAGTCTACACCCTTTTGCGCCTATACCGTTGGTAATTTATAAATTCAATACCTTGCATAAATAGGAGAGAAATAACAGCACATTTCAACCCTCTTCGCGTTTCGAGCACAAAACAATCTGTTTCAAAATATGGGAAACGATGCCTTTTTGATATTTTATCGTTACAATCCGCCACACAACACTTTTTACGGTCACATAACTTGTTCCTATTTTAAATCTTTCAAAAGTCAAAATTGACATGTGTAAAACCATGTGTACGTATAAAATTGACGGTAAAAATATTTCCTGTAACGAGCAAAATTACAGGTTTTGCAAAAAAATATTTGAGTCTGCGATAAATAGTTCTCCGTACAACCACGGGAAACCCTGTAATCAGTGACAATTTAGCGCCATTTATGTTTCTGTTCTGTGAAGGTCTTATTCTGTGTACATAACCTCCAACTCCAAGTGTAAAGACGTACCAGCGATTCAATTTTCTTGAAAATGTTGAAAATTAAGCTTTTTTCTTGGAGATATAATGGGAAGGTGTGCAATTTATGTGAACTGTGGACATAATATAATAAATAAGCAATATTTATTTTTTATGTATATGCAGTGCAGAAACAAGTGCCGTTTTTATCTTTATCTAAAATTTCGAGGATGCATTCAGGAAAAAGCTGATATTCGCACTGTATTACAATGTGGAGGGAGTGATAAATGGTTCCTCACCACATTGCAATCATCGCCCTTCTTTTGTCAAAAATAAGATACCACAGCATAGATGGGTGAGGTTTTAACTAAAATCTCACGTGAATAAAATCCCATTAAATGTAAAACGGAAAATGACTACTTCTTATCGCTCGCTATATGCACACTAGCAGATAATGTGCATTCGTAAATTGCAATCATGCGAAGGTCATCGTATCCTATAGACTTTAAATTTTGCATATAAGTAGGTTCCTTTTGGCCCATCCAAGGAAGAACCCTATTAAATTTCAAATCACACGGGTTACGCCATAGCTATTTACCAATTTAAGTCACAAGTTTTTAGCTCATTTAGCAAAATTTAAGAGAATGATCTTGGCACCAACTTGCCTTGATAAGCGTTGTTTAGAACTTCGTATTTGGATCTGTTTCAGGACGGTATGTGTGTTTTTAGACCCATTGAAAGGACCAAAAATGAACGAATGAACTAATATGTATATGACTTCTTCAAACGTCTGAAGGACTTCAATGAATCTTGCTTTCTTCACTCTACCTGTTACAAAATCGATTAATGCGTGTCACTTCCGCCGTTTATTTAAAATTTATTAAACAAACCTGTAGACTTTTAACGCTTGGCATTTAAATGGCCGAAAGACATCCTCACCAAATTTCCCAAAAAGGTCGACACACCCTATAGTACAAAGTGGTAGAATCTATGGTTGCGTTTCTTTCTAACCTCAAATATTGATTACAAGAGTTAACTGACCCAAAAAGAATCATTGAAGGAATTGATAATTACACGTTGAATTGATTGTACTTTTCGACATGTCTCGAGATGTTAGTGTTAAAATAAGCCCCGTGGAAACGATAGAGTCTTTAACTAAAGAAGCGGAACATTTAAAAATTAAATTGGAGGATGAACGCCAAAAGCTTAATGATGTTACATGTAAGTTGCGCTATTAATTGTTAAATTTTAACCTTACTGTAAGATTGTTTGTGTATTTACTGCAGCTTTGCTTTGTAGTGGCAGCAGTAGCCGATAGGCTAGAGATAATAAATTATATGAACGTAAAACCAAGACGTACATTAAAGGGCCATCAGGCCAAGGTATTATGCTCTGATTGGTCACCGGATAAGCGCCACATTGTATCATCATCACAGGTAAATAGTGTAATTGCACGATTTGATTATAGTTTCAAAATTGAAATTGAATTAGGATGGTAAAATGATAATTTGGGATGCGTTTACCACTAACAAGGAGCATGCAGTTACCATGCCTACTACTTGGGTGATGGCTTGTGCTTACGCGCCTTCTGGGAATTTGGTTGCTTGTGGGTAATGGTCAATCTATTTTTATTACCTAATGTGTGTACTTAAACTTTGTTTTCAAGTGCTTATTATTTCATTCACTCGTTTGTCTAGCTTAATTTGTAGGTATTTGTGTCAATAATACACTGATTGCTTCAAAGTGAGAACCTCCCCAACTGTGCTGAGACAAACTGGTATTTTAATATAAAATTTTCCTGGTAAATTAGCATAACTGTAATATAGCTAGTGCCTACTAGTTATCTTACAGACTATTGCAATTTCCCCAAATGAGCCGGCATTGAGAAATCTTAAGTCTGTGGATGTGCAAACTCAATTCTTTACAGCACGCAGAAATCCTCTGTTTAATGACTCGTGTTTCAGTTATTTATCTGATAAAACACTTTTATGGGAATACATTTGTTTCCATACTCAGATGGATTTAACGGTAACATGAAAGATCGGCCCTAAGTGCACTAAGTATTACTACAAATGCATAGCGATAATTGAACAGTGACTTGTTCTTCTATCAAATATGATGTTCGATTTGCTTATGGAGCAAAGTCGATTATTCTGGTGTGCTCGCGTCATCTTCTCTAATGTACTAGAACAAAACACATCATATTGCCCAGAAAGATTGCGTGACATCCGCCTTCGATCTTTATCGCCGATGCATGCATGGTGCCTCAATGTCTATTGGGATTTCTGGAATATTAACTACAATATTATTCGAAATAAAGCTTATTTGATTTTTTTAAAAGAATTTAATAGGTTGGTATCAGTTGTTAATGGTACGGGAGATTTCGGTTAGAGCAAGATATATACTGAGCACCTAGGTATTGTTGTGTAAACTACACCATGTGGGCGTTTTGTTTGGTTTAACCATCTGCAGTAATGTTGCATCACTCTGTGTGTCCAATTTCAATTGTTTTTGTCGTTAAATGTGGTTGTAAATTACGATTGAATTCAAATCTTGATCATTCGATGTCCGTTTTGTTTTGTGTCGGAATTTTTATGTTTGGTTTTGTTGATTTTGAGTTGTAATTGTAAAGTTATTTTGTGTTATTAAGGTAAGGAACATCTGGAATTATTTACGTAGTTTTGCAAAAGTGTATTTCATTAATAATCCGGGCCGTTGCGATAAGAAATTCCGTTATCGCTACGAAAGTTAATTATTTCCAAAACGTGTTATCGCCGAGTTGAGCAGATGTTCGTTTTAATTACACATTAATAAATTTCAGGAAGGAGGAAGGAAAGTGGAAAAGAAAGGGGAAAGGTTTTAAATAAGCGAACGAGACGTTATCCATAGCTTTTTTGGTGGTGGACGTTGAAAAATAGCCGTTTGTTTTGGGATTTGGCGTATGCCGTATTTGAACGTATTTGTCTGTCTTGTTTAATAGAAAAGTTGTATAGAAGAAAGCTAAAAAGTATTCAAAAATTTTCTTTACATCGGGATAAAAGGTTAAGTCCGGTTAAGCGGAAGAGTGTTTTTCCGTTCACGAAAAACTTTAGCCGGAGTGCTGTGGTTATCCAGCGTTTTTCGCTGAAAAGAAGCCTTTTTTTTAGGTCTTCAAGCTATCAGTTAAAGGGAGTTTTTCCCTCTGCTTTTCCACTATCAAAGGACCTATGTTATAGTTCTAATTACAAAGGAGTGAGGTTCCGAAGCATCCTTCAGCTTGGTGTTTGTTTTATGTTAGTGCGTCTGCTTGCTTAAAAGTTTATTTAATTTATGGCCATTTGCACCAACAAATTTAAGCGGAGCTTAGTTTAAGCGTCGCTTAAAATCTATGGCAACGATTATTGAGACAATGGTTGCCATTGATTTTAAGCTAAGCTCGGCTTAAATTTGTCGGTGCAAATGCGCATTAATGTAATTAAAACTGTATTTAAATTTAATTTGTGTAATCGATCGCTTGTTGCGTGGTGTGTGTTATCTGGCTCTTGAGCGCTATTCTTTTTTCAGCTTATTTGATTGCCTGTAATTAATTCTTTGGACTTTTTGAGCCTGCTAAATTTCTCAAATTAAGAAAATTTATCTATTCGTCGTAGCGGAGGCTGGACCCGCCCTAGCAAAATTTTTATTTCTTTTCAAGGTTTTCTTAGTATCTGTGTTAAATTGAGCTAACCGGACAGGTGTTTTGTGGGCGGGTTAGTGGCAGTTTGCCATTGCACATAGCATTTTTATTTGGCGCCCTACGTGGGGCAGTCACTTATATTCAATAGAATGTTAATGGTTGCAAAGTAAAGAAACAGACTGTATTGTACCCGGCACGTAAAAAGGCGAAAGATCACGTATCGCCACTGTTCTTATTCTATTAATTTCATCTATTAGGGCGCCATGAAGTCAGTTGGTTCCTGAGGGGCAACCCACTGTGTAGTTGGTAATGATTAACATAGTGTTTTAGGAAAGGTGAAAATAAAATGTAAATAAATGAACTAGGATTAGATTTAAAGGTTATGTTTAGCACTGGGGCACATATGTTGTGGTAAATCATGTTTTATAAGACTGACAAGCTCGCTTTTTATCCTATGTATTTTTTGAAAAATATTTTGAAGTATAATAAAACTGGAATGCGTGTGCAGTCACCAAGATTTTTTGGATGACATTCTTTCTTTTTGTCGACCTTAGTTGAAACTACGAGTAATAATCGTAACTTGCTACTAGGTCTGAGTGCTGGAATTTGAAACCATCACACAGATGAATAGAATTAACTAAAATTTGATTAAACAGGATACAATAATGCTTGACGCTTGGTTAGGGGAGGTTCATTTTCATTGTATTCCAGACCTGCGCTTATTACTTTCTCAATTTCTGCAGGGGTTTGGATAATAAAGTTACAGTATATCCATTAAGTTTAGACGAGGACGTAACATTGAAGAAAAAAACCGTCGGTACACACACCAGTTACACAAGTTGTTGTACCTTTCCAAATTCTGATCAACAGGTGGCTCTGCTTTGAGATTTATCCCTTTTACTAATCGCGCATTATTTAAGATTCTTACCGGCAGTGGCGATTCAACATGCGCATTGTGGGATGTCGAATCAGGCCAACTGTTGCAAAGCTTTCACGGACATGCGGCCGATGTCATGTCCATAGACCTAGCACCGTCGGAAATCGGCAATACATTCGTCTCCGGGGTAATATAAGTTAGTGAAAAACCGCAAATTTAGCTTGCGACTTTCAGAGTTGCGATAAAATGGTCTATCTTTGGGATATGAGGACGGGGCATTGCGTGCAGTCGTTCGAGGGGCACGAATCGGATGTGAACAGTGTCAAATTTCATCCCAGCGGCGATGCTATAGCGACCGGAAGTGATGATGCTACTGTTGGGTTTGAAACACGCCCTCTGCATATAATTAATGATTGTTTTTAGTGTCGGTTATTTGATCTCCGTGCAGATCGAGAGGTGGCAGTGTACAATAAAGAAAGTATAATATTCGGCATTAATGCTGTTGATTTTTCAGTTTCCGGTGTGTATGGTTACGTAATTCATTTTATACAAATTGCACTCATTTATTTAGGTCGCCTTTTATTCGCTGGCTATAATGATTACACTGTAAATGTGTGGGATACTCTTAAGTGTGTTCGTGTTTGCTTATTGTATGGTCACGAAAATAGAGTATCATGTCTACAGGTTTCTCCAGATGGCACTGCTCTATCGTCCGGTTCTTGGGATTGTACACTAAGGGTATGTGCACTTATCTTTTAATTGATATCGTTTTATTTTAATTTCCATAGGTTTGGGCTTAAATCAACCATTTCTCCGATACATTTAAATTTAATTGTTTCATATACTATATCAGCAAAGCTTAAGAATAAATGTTTTGTAAATGTATGGCTACCGAAGACGTTTATATTATTGTTCTATGTGGATAGCAAATTGGTGCAGTTAAACCTTCAGGAACAGCTTTATTATATCCATAATGTTATGTTGTAATAAACAGCATCCTTCGCTGTTACTGTGTTGTATTGTTTGTGTATCAACTTTTTTTTTCATTGTTGTACATTTGTTAGCTTCTTAAAATTTATCTCAAACAGATAAAGTCTGCGACTGCCAGTTATAGTATACCAGTACAAAATATAAATGAAGTGAATTCTTGGGTGAGATCTATTGATATTTTAGGAATTAAGTAACCTAGAAATTTCCATATTTCTTTATGTATATTACCTTCAGTATTATGTCTAGCATTACTGTTATTGCAACTATAGGTGTCCTAACATCTCGACATTATCCAATTATGATGTAGATGTTAGTTGTGTGTATATTACATGTAAATAAATTTGTAGCTATTACGATGTTGTAATTTATTTAATTAGTCAACTATAATATAATGGTTAACATTAATAACGAAGTAATAGATATTGCTGGTAAATTATTATGATTTAAAATATCCGTGAATCAAATCATTACAGTAAATTTTCATTGCAAGAGATGGTGGCGTGATTCTCAATCTTAAATTGTTATAATTAATGTAAAAGGCTTGGATATGCGCAATCCAAAGTGTAGAGATGAAATCGACTAGAGCCAAACTTTTTAAAAACTCTTGGCTTGAAAGTATGGATGTCCAGCTCGGCTCGAAATTATGGATGTTCAGCTTGCCTCGAAAAAAATAAGTTGAGCTCGACTCAAAACTTTGCTTGTTCTCAATTAGAGTTATAAGCCCAGTCGAACTAAGCTCAGATTCAAAACAATGGAATATACACTTGAAGATTGGCGGTTACAGAGGTATAAACAAAACCACGGGCGGACTGGCACGGGGGGGCGGATGGCGATCGCCACCTAGCCTGTAGATCATAATGGCCCGTTGGAAATTTATAAGTATGTGCTGTATTTAGTTTCTTGCACTATTAATAAATTATTAACATGTTTCTCTAATTGGGGTTGATGTTAGGTTGTTAAAAAATTCTGTTTTAATTGAAGTGTTTTACAATGAATTTTACATTTTTTGTGCTGAAATACAATGATAGGCGGCGCACCTCGTGTGTATCAGCTGCTTTATTTTCGAGAAAGGAGTACTTTAAAATGTTTTTGTGGCGCACCTCAGAAGCAACCCCCCCCCCCCCCCGCCACCTGCATTACTACACTAATACTTTAATGGCCCGTAACCTATGCTATTCCACTTGGCCCGCAGTTACCCAGTCCGCCCCTGAACAAAACATTATTTGGGGTCGCCATTAAAGATGGAACCAAAGCTTTCATGCTCAAACCGTTTGAGATATAGACATAAAAATGAGAATGCTCCCATTTGAAATTATTTCATACAGGTTATACAGGGTGTTTGAGTGCGACCGCCATATTAATTTTTTTAAAATGGCAATATAGCTTTGTTTTTTCGGTTTTAATAGCCCTTATACCATAAGGGACATTTCATGGCTTAACGAGAATACAAACATGAAATCATTTTTAATTTCTGATCGAATGACACCAGTACCAAGTCTGTAAGTGGTGTAGTTCGGAATCCTGTGACTCAGACATATCAAAGGCGTAAAAGTGCACTATCAAAAGTACACTTTTTTATTTTTTGAATTTGAAAGTGCACTAAAAAAATTCGTTAAGCCGCTTGTGAGCAAGGGGCGAAGAGTGCACTTTCAAACTTGTTTTTTTCAATTTTAATAGCCCTTATGGACATTTCATGCCTTAAGGAGAATACAAACATGAAATAATTTTTAATTTGTGATGGTAGGCACCAAGTTTGTCATAGTATGACAAATATTTTTACGGTTATTAACCATACTGTTTATACCCATTTTCGTACTTATTTTTTCTGCATTGATTATCGACCGTGCAAAATCCTTTCATCTTACCACTCGGATTTGCCCCCAAGTGGTGTAGTTCTGGAGCTTTTGTGACTCAGACAGACATCAAGAGCAAAAAAGTGCCCTTTTTATTTGTGGTAGCCAATTCCTAAATTTTAAATCGCAATGGTTACTGAAAGGGGAAGCATTCAAAATTGCAATCACCTCAATAACTGCACACAGCAACGGTTCACCTTGCAACAGTGGAGTGGGATACCTACAAAGAACAGTAGAACAATGAAATGGAAGGGTTTTGTTGATTTTAACAGTTTCGTTATTTTTCAATACATGGGTATGTAATCTCCTCCCTAGCAGGGAGTTTGAACAATTTCACTAAGTATAAGGTGCTCCAAAACAATTAGTCACTCTATTTGAATTACAATTTATGCAAGTTATATAAGTTTCACATTTAAAACGGAAATTTGTTAGATTCAAAGCGAAAAATGTAAAGAAAATTCCATTTTTTAAACAAAAATGACTTTCTTTTGGTGGTTTTTATTAACTGTTTAAATTACATGTACCAATACAGTGTCAACTGTCAACAATAGACGATTTTTTGTGCAAGCACCAATAATCTTACAAACTACTTGAAGAAAATAAGTAACTATAGTAAAGATTTAAAAAGTAGGTGGAAATCAAAATTAATTGACAGGATCGTAACACCCTATGAGAAGGAAACTTATTTCGATAGATGATAACGATATTAACATTTTTTATGTATCATGAAGGAATGTGATTAATATTATTTTAGTGCGTTAATTTTTTTTCTTAATTTGATTCCCACTTTTATACTTTAGGTATTATCGACTTTAAAATAATGTATTCTGAAACCGAACAATAAAAACCATTAAAATTAGAATACAATATTTTAAAGATATGATTTTAAAGGCTAAATAGTATCATGATTATGAAATCGCAAGTGATGTACTACGGAATAGATATCACACATCTAGACAGGGTGGAAGATTGTTACGTGGATGAAGTTAGAAGTCAACGTAGGGAGGCAAAATTTTATCGTGGCATCCTATTTGTACAATTTAATTTTCTACAATTTGTCTTACAGTATGAGGAGAATTTACTTTACTAAATGCATCACATACAGCTTGATGTTACTGAGCAGTAATTTGAAAGCACACTAAGGCGCGATTTTAATTCACATTAAATTAGTAGAGCCTAAGTGCAAGATTAACTATAAGTGATGAGAATAAGATTCTTTGGATATTTAAACCACTTTACATTATAAATTAATCTTATCACAAAAAAAAGTTTTACAACAGTCCTAATGATTTTAAAAACATAATTTATTATAACAATACATTTATGAACAGGAGTGTATAATTTATTTTATGTACATGAATGACAGCCCAGCTGTCATTACAATCCTTTATAATATATTTAGTACTCTCTTGTTTTTATAAATATGCAATTTTTATTAGCGCAGTATATCTAAGTACAAAAATCGTGTTAACTTTGTTTAGTAAGTACATAACAAATTACCGACGTTTGATGTAATTACCAAGTATGTTATAAAGGAACTGTCGCAACAGCAAAGGCATGCCCGAGCAGGAAGGCAACAATAATTATAGCGTAACTGTACAGCGCCGGCCCCGGGCATCATTATGGTGAATTAGTCTTTTGCTACCAATGATGAAAGAACGTATTTTTTATTTATATACTAAATTTATGTTTCAGCTTCAATATAAACAACAACTTAATATTCACTGTCTGTGCCTTAAATTCGAATCCTTCCCATGATCTGGTGTATTTTTCCTAGTAACAAACAAAATCAATTATTAAGTACAGATATTCTAAATGGTACATTTTAGAAAGTAAGTAATACAACTTTGGGAAGTAATTTTTAGTTTTACACGAACACTACTAGGGTTGCAACTAGGGCGCTACCAATGATCTGCAAACCAGAATTTTCTATAAAATTTTAAATAAAATGTATTATTAGATAGGGAAGTAAAGTTTCACCAAAACCAGGTTTTTTTCGTATTCTGCTTTAAGGGTGCGTAAGAAATACAATATCTCTTATCAGGTTTTGCCTGGAAACTAATAATAATAATACTAAAGATGATTGCCCTATCGCGAATTGGAGGTCTGATTGGTTAGATATCTGGTCGTTCTTGAGAATTTTGTGATAAATTTTACAGTTGAAAAGTTAAGAGAATTGTTAATATTTCAAATTCCATGAAAAATATCCAACCTTTTTGAGTTCAGATGATAGTTTCATATAAACCCTTGATTTTTTAAAATTAAATACGACGCTGGACGGCCTGAAACCTTTTATAATGAAGTTTTACATTTAAACTTAAAATATAAAAAAAGGTTTACATTTAATATTTCTCGCGTTTTCTTAAACATTTCCAGACAAAATAATAGTCCAGAACATTTTTTGGTGGAACACTAGTTATGCAACTATTACATTATAAGAATTTGCTGTAAAATGTATATTTATAAACTATACCTAGTGAATACTTTAGTAGTTAGAACTATTGGTGATTTTTGGGGAATCTAAAAAAAGTTTACTTTTTTGACGTAGGTAATAACGGGCTGCGTGAAGTTGACCTCCCATTTTTCAAAATTCATGTTTATATGACTTGACTCTTTCCTAGTTTGATTACGAACTCTAGAACTTGGTGGGGGCCTCCAGAACTCTAATTACAATTGAAAATTGTATAAATGAGAGGTTAACTTCACATGCGTTTTGTTACACTGAAACGACATAGAGCTAATGGTGGTACTTTCTTTGATATCAACCCCATTTGAATTTGACGAATGGATATAATGTGCACAAACTCAAATCCACATATTTTTGGCTCCGACTGTAGTGTGACTTGCACACAGGATTTCAGTTAGTTTTGAATTTGTCAAAGTTTAAATAAAATTAGCAAGAAATTCCCCACTTTGGATAAAGATGTGCAATAGAGCGCTGTGGTCATTAAAAAAAACGAGTGTGCTTGCATTATTACTTTAGATTTATTTGTAGCAGACGAATCTAAAACTGTTTACACCAGGCTGCCAAGAAGTTACGGTAAGGTGAAAAATTAGAAACCCAATCTTTTGAAATTCTTTATATTATACTTCTTCTTTCAAACAAATTAAATTTGAATTAGGCAAGATTGATTTAAAAAATGAATTTTTTAAATATACTTGTTCCTTCATCACTAATTATCTCATAAAAATCACATTTTGAAAAAGTGTATTACTGCTGTACTCTTTCAATTTTTATTAAATTTTGTTAAATGTACCATTATCTAAAAGGCTCATAATACTTACTGTTCAGGACTTTGGTCTGTATCACTTTCTTCAAGCTCTGTTTTATTTCGTTTCTTTTCATATACAAGAATAATTGCGCAAAGAACCAAAACTTCAGCACAAATGCCTAAAAAGGGCCACAATGCCGCATACTTGTCTAAACAAAAGAAATAATTTTGTATTAATTTTTCAATGCATGAAATCTCACCTTTCACTCTAACAACGGCAACAGAAGGCTCGCTGCGTTCGTTGGTACTTTTCGAATGTCCAATACACTTCAGTTCCGCTTGGTCCTCTTTTGTAACATCCTTAAGAATGAAAACAGAATCTGGCACATTCTTCTCAGTATCGGTTTCTAATGATACTCTTCCTTCAGATTTATTGTATTCTTTACCATCTAAATACAAAAATAAAAATCTGAAGCAACATTCTTTAACACTCACTGTATTCCCAAGTAATGATTGGAACCGGATTTCCGAGAACTAGGCACACTACTCTTAGTTTTTCACCTTCTATCACACTGATATCTTTTTGTATTTTCACATAGATTTTACCTGCATATGGAAACGTTAAAATGAATCGTTTAGCTAACATACTTACTTTCAACAACTATAAATGCTCGATTTACTTCAATATTATTGACAAGTGCTACACACGAATAATTTCCTGCGTCGTTTTCGTCGGCAGAATTAAGTTGAAGTTTATACATGACATTATCTTCACTATGAGACAATGATACCCTTTTGTTGACTGTTTCAATTTCTGTGACTAGTTTACCATCTTTTTCCCTAAACGAATAAAAGATTCAGTATAATTACCTACTTCTTCTTAATCTGTTTAGTGCAAACCTACCATTTCACAGAAAGCTTTGAATTGTCGTCTAGGTCTTCTGTCGTCACATTACACGATAACTGTAATGCCTCCTTGATTTCGTATTTGGTTGTGCTTGTAGTAGGATCATCGTATTTTGGATATATATTAACTGTAACAAAGAAATAAAATTTAGCTGTGCTCAGATTTTGTGGAAGGTTTATTGCGAAATCCACCAAAATGGCGCATTTATATGTGGGGGAGTCAGAAATTGGTACCGACAAAGGGAATATGGTAGCCCCCCACAAGATCTTACTGATTATAGAAAATTCAAACGCAAATTGCGGGTGAACGGGACGTCGGAACTGAGTACCCAGAAAGGGAATATAGTAGCCTCGACAAGATCTTACTGGTGGTGAAGTCAAAACTGGCTAATACAATTACTTATGAGAGCTGGCGTAGCATCGATGGTGGTATAGATTATATGTTTGATGGTGGCGACGTTACTTTTCGGAGTGTAAGACGATATGGTGAACTTTCTGATGAAGACACCGCTGGCCGGGAGCAAATACTCCGGGGACAAGTTTCCTTGAAGCCAAATCTTCCGTGCGCGAATTTTTCGAAGGCGAATATGCCGGGATGAATTTATCGCGCACGATTTGGGACCCTTTTTGGACCTTAAATAACCTTTTTAGTTTTGTTCCGATCTGGAACTATGCCTTCTAATCTGCTCCAAATATTGTAATCAACGCGGTGAAAATCATGGTTATTTAAAAGCGAGTCTTTAGAAAAATGTTTTCTCAAAGAAAGCTCTTATAAACTAGGTTTTGGTGAGCTAATTTGCGATAATGCCAGCGTTTTACGATAGTAGATTTAAAGATTTTACCAATTTAAGGGTTTAAATGACTTCATTAAGAATTAAACAAAGATTCAAATGTATGAATAGAGGTTTAATTAAATTACCTATCCTTATGTAGGTATGTACGTAAATGTCCATTGTTTTAGAAATACTTATTGGGGTCAAGGATATTAAAGACGTCCCCTTTGCTTGGTTTTTAAGTATATACATGTCCAAAACCAGGTATAAATCAAAATACTCGTCAAAATATATAATCAAACAAGTTGTAAATCAGCATATGCATGATGAAAGCGAATTTTTGGTAATACAGATCAATATTTTATTAGCAAAGTTTAAAATTATCGATCTCACGAGTAATCTAACTCAAAATAGACTAGAGCCTGCACACCTACACTATAACAGAAAGCTTTTAGTAAAAATTTAAAGTCTCTAGCAATTGTAATTGCTGAGAACTTAGACGAACAGCCAGCCAGCCATAACGAATATAATAGCATTTTTTTTCAAAAATGCGCTAAAAATTTCCAAAGCTGGTCCTTACAAAATTTAATCCGTCCACCTATTTCTAAAATTGTCACACAATACGTATTATGTACTTATGACTAGAACTTCTTAGATCATACCGCATACGTGATTTTCTTAATTATCATCATTAAATAGTGTTTATACAATTACCACCTAACTATTAAAAGTAATGACGTTTGTTGAAAGAAATAATGCGCTTGATCTATTTGTGGAAAGATTTTCATCAACAATTTAATATTTGTAAGTTTGCAAGGTATAACAAAGAAGATTAAAGCATGTTCTAAAGCTAAACTTATTAACTGAAAAAATGTGTTCCCAAAATCTCTGCACTGAGAGCTCTTTACCGCCATAAGGAAGACGAAAAAAGGCCTTTAGAAACACATATACCTATTGACGTTCTACACAGTATGGTGTACATACTGCCAATAAGGCGAAAGGATTAATTTTTACGGATGTGAACCTTCACAATTGCGTGTGATATGCTTACGGGAACTACATGTATTTTATATCACATCCTTTTTCATTGTTCTGAAGCACAAGCGATTTCCTTGGCGAGATTAGGTCTCCATAATAAATGTTTATTTAAGTATAAGATAGAATTTATCTAAAACACCGTTTGTCCGATGCCTCGTTAAAGTTGTGTAGCTAATAAATTTTCCATGCAACATTTTGGAGATTAAAGATTACCACTTACCTAATAAAGAAGATTTACAAGAGTTCTTGCTATGGTATACAAGTATAATTATTGCGCAAGGTATTTTGTCGATAATTTGTCTAGAGTTAATGTAAAGAGAAACTTTGGTCTCAACCTTGTGTAATAACAGTCGCATAGCATGTGCTAGAAACATTAAACTTCAAGTTTGTGGCTTAGATGCATCTAGACTCTACCAGTAGCAGCGAGCAAGCGTTTTTTTATCCTGGTTCAACCAGTGAACGAAAAACGTTAGGATAAGTATGGGTGAAAACAAATTGTTTTATAATAAAAAAAAATTACCTGTTTTTTAACTCCAACCTTTTTACAAATCACTTTTGAAGCAAAAGGACCTAAATTTTTAAGTATTTTCAATCATAGTAATCGGTTTTTTTTGCCAATGTATAAATCACTCCTTATTAGGGGCTAGGATGATAGTTGAAAATTCATGTTTGCTCCAAAACTAAACTTATCTGTCATTTGGTGAACGCGAGGGTGAACGTAACTCGGAATTCGTGAAAGATACTTATTTCTTCCAATTTCTTCCTATTCGCTAATGGGTTGCCTACTTCGTCTGAAAAATAGTTCTATTTTGAAATGCTTTTGCCTAATCCTTCCTTTTAATCATTTTATGAGAAAACTATTTTTGCATATTCCTCAATTTCGGCGCTGGTCAGAAATGATTTCAAAAATCCATAAACACAAAACGTAAAGAGGTGGAATTACCGCCGTCATCTTTGTCCTTGGGTATACCCATTCCGATTTTGTCTCTGATTTTATCAAAAATACCCCAAAATTCCAATTTCAAGATACACACGTGTCTATCATGGGCGAGATCATGGGAAACTCCAAAACCATAGAAGATACGACGATGGTCAAAAAGGTTAAGATATACCGGGTGTTGAATTTAAAAAAAGATTTTTTTCTGAGTTACTTGGCAACTCAAAAGATATCATTTGTAGATCCAGGGTACATAATTGTTGGAAAATATTGATTTTATGATTACCACGATGGTTACTTTCGCTCCGCCCTATTGCTGAAGGCATTACATCCTAAACGATATCCTTCCCACGAACCCAAAATTGACGTGTTTTTTTCCAAATAAACAAAGATGTTTGTTTCCTTTGTAGGCTTTACTCGTCAGCATTTTTCTTTCCTTCACATTATATTCCTATACTTTCATTTTGTGAAAGAGTAGGATCTCTATAAATATGTTAATATGTTTTGTTAAAATCCTCGTTGGGGGAAATATACAGGGTGAAAGTTTTGTCTAGAATGCTGAATATAAGTATCTTCACACCGTTTAAACGTTTATTTTTAAGAAGCTTTTATGGTAGCCTAAATGTCTTGCGAACCGAGCGAACTTTGATTTATTTATTTGTAAAAAAGTAACTCGGAATGGAACGAGGAATGGAATGAAACTGCCACCTCATATAAGTAGGTAATAGTTTTGCCTCGAGTTTAGCTAACGTTGTACAAAAAATTGTTAGATTAGTGACTTGATTTTTTTTAACGAAGCTAGGTAATTCATTATTAAAAATTTAATAATAAATGTAGTTCCCGAGGTAGTTCCATTCCAAGTCAGTTGCGGGCGACCACTTACATGTCTCTCCGAGCAATTAAAAGATGCATTTTTAATAAGTTTTGTTTACATAGAATCAAATTTCACACAAATAGGTTTGGCAAATTAATATAATGCCTCAAACGTACGAAAGTAGTTTTTTGGCTTATCAAATTTACTGTATATTTATGGAATTTACCACAACACAGCTAAACACTGTAATTATATTTAAATGAGTTCGTGATTATCATTAAATTTAATACACAAGCAAGTGGTATCCATATTTGCCGGAAAAAGCAAAAAAGAAAAATTCCCATGGCAGTCAATTAAAATTTCATGACAATTTATTCCTTTCTCCGTATTTTGTAATAATTTTAGATCTTTCAATAAAAAATACTACGGGTAGGTGGCATGTTATCGACGATCTTGTGGAGGCTGACAATGGGTAAATATGTCACTTAAATAACAATTTGGACCTACAGAGCCGGTCATTTTAATTGCGCGTTTAATTAGTGAAGTACACCTACTAACTGTCATATCTTATCCTACAAGAGACAAGAGACAATGGAGATGAACTTTGAAACACACTTGAACAGCTTTTTTTTATAGGAACACTCGGAAAAATACATTGGAACCTTAACTCAATGCAATAATTGCTGGAATAATTTCCAGCAGCGTAATTAATGTGATTAACGTAATTCCGAGTAAAGTGGTTGATGAAGTAAACAACCTATAATTAGCGCAATAAGTATATCACTTCCGGAATTGAAATTTGGGCAAGCGATATGTCAATATTTTGTCCGCGGCATTCTCTGTGGATTGTTCAAGGGCAAGTGCATCGATTACATGCTTAATGAACAAATCATGAAAAGGTGTTCCAGAATAGTCAAAAATAAATCTGATGTAACCGAAAATTCAGCAGTAATGTCAGAATCGGCAAGGGAAATATGGTGGCGACAAAATAAAAATGACCAGTGGATATATTGATTTCAAATTCCGTTTATTTTGCCTGGGTTGCCATTCGTACGCCAAAATATCGAAGTTTACTAGTCGGCATTATAATTACAGCAATTTGAATAAGCACGAGATACAAAAGACCAAACTTATTTCGCTACCTCCATTTACTTTGAGGAAAACCCCAGCCAGCCGTAAAGGGCTACGGAATGAATTAAAAGCTTTGCTTCCTCATAATTCTATTTCACTTTGAAACAGCTTTTGGATGGCTTAATGCTACGTTTTATACGTGGTTTTATATAATTGAGGATTACTTAATTAAAACGGCTGTCACATTATCATATATTAGTAGATAGTTTAGTAGTACCTATTCCTACGACGCACGCTGCGGGGAACATAACGGGCATTAATTACAAAATTAACTTTAATCGCTATAATTATAATAATGCGAAATCACCATGGATTTTGATTTAATATGAATCGCATATTCCTAACCTTTGCAAGAATGAGAGACTAAGACTAAAGTGACAAGGAATAAAAGAGAATAGTAGCAACAGGCGCACGAAAAGAGAAAGGTGACGAATGTAACTTTATCATCAATCATGGGTTTATTTTTTTGACAGAAAAGTCGTAAAGAACAAGAAAACTACGAATGATTTCGGTGCATTTCGTAATTCAATTGGTTGACGTTGATGTATTTTCCCCTCGATTTTCGCTAAGAAAACAAAGTCAGGCGCACAGACCTTTATATATTTTTTTTATTTGCCCATTACTATGCGATATACCTAAATATTTACAGTAATAGTCAGGTTTAGAGTGCTTTTAGCCAGATCAATGTTCGTTTTCAAAACGTTTCACGAAAACCCTTTTCCAACAATAAAGGCGAGAACAGAGGATATTGCGATCAAGTAGTTCTACAGTTTTCAAGATATTTATATTACAAAAAAAAGAGGGATTGAGGGATATAATTTCATCAAACACGCAGTTATGGGACAGTGTCGATAGATCCGTTAGCTAAAAGCTCACAAAGATTGTGTCTTTTATGTGCAGTTATATGGCGTTCATAATTTATCAATAAACATTAATGTAACGTAAAATATTCAATTATACTCGCAATTATATTAAGATTAGTGGCTTGATTAGTGGTCAATGAGCACGAATTTTGTGCCAGTATTATTTTACGCAACTATTATAGAAAAACCAGAACTGCCGGTGCCTGGATGTGTGAGATACTCCCTACATTATGTCAAAACTCATCTGAGTAATTCATCTCGTGCAATCTACATGGATAAAAGAAGTACAGGTCACTAAATGGCTCCAATGATATTGAAAACAACAATATCTTGGTACCATATTAAGTATTGGCTCGAGTATAGGTATTTAAAAAAATGACTAAACCTCGGAGTAAACCTTAGTGTTCCATTTTTGTCAATTTCGTGTCAACGCAAACCTAGTTCAATTCCTCAAATATCCTAAATGAAATAAAGGAGGAGAAAATCCCGTCAAAAAAATTGAATGCATTCAATTTCCTCTGGAAATAGGTATATAACAAGTATTTTTGCTGTAGCTTTGCCGATTTGTAATTAGAAATTCCCTTGGAAATTCCCTTTTGTAAACTGTATTGTTCAAATCTCATTATAATGGTTTACCTGAGAATTGCTGGGGGCGTTCAGAAATGTCAAACATATGATACCTATACATACCTATAAGTTAGAAAAGAACAAGAAGAACCTCGAGAAGAACGATGTAATTTTCGTATAATCCGAGGTATAATCGGAGGTATAATCCGGTATAATCTTTCTGATTTTGAAAAAATTCATGGATAAATGAGACAGTAGGCGAGAAAAAATTCCCGACTCGAATAAATTATAGGGATGGGTTCCATTTAGGGGTGTTCGATATATGAAAACTTATTGTGATTGATTACCAAACCTTAAATAACTCGAACTAAATTCATATACACATGATTTGAGAAACAATTTTCAAACTTTGTCGATCTTCTTCTTAAGAATGGAAAGTAGGGACGGACAAGTCTTTGGTCGTCATGGAAAGCACTTCGGGCTCGACTTTGGGCGACCTACAAACCTTTGGAAATGACTTCGAAGTGCAGATGAAATGGTTCTGAGAAGCTCTTGAAAAGCGTTAAAGGGCTCTAAAAATTCATCAGACATCCTTTATATTTTGCGTAAGATACACATTATCTCGCAAATTATCCTTAGTTTAAATGAATCATCCGTTATAATGACGTATAGAAAAAAGTCGCCAAACAGTATCAGAGTATAGGTACTACTGCCAAAAGTGACTTCGAGTGGCTTCATTATCAAATGAAAGTATTACACTTTAATTACACTTTACTACTTCGATTACACAATTATACTCGATATAACTATACGCGAGGACTATCTTATCTATTAAAGCACATCAAAATCAAATAATTCAAATAACGCGAAGGTCACTTTAAATTTTATCAGTGTGCCATATGGACATATGTACATATGGATACTGAATTAGGATTTATGACATGCATATGTTTTTTGAAACAATAATCTCTCGTGAAGCATATTTTTCAAAATTGACAAATTTTTGTTGTTGGGTTGAAAACTGGGGAGAGGACACTGCACTGACAGGTCCCTGTGGGACTGGAGATGATAACTCGAGAACAGAAATGTGCACATACAATAACAGTAATAAAAAATAGTATAATTATGCAACACTTGAACAGAATTCGTGCTCAATGGATATTTGATTCAGGAGACCAAAGACTTGCAAAGCCTCCCTAGCGCCTTTCCAAAGCTTTTCAGTATATTTCCAAAACTTTCAAGATAGCAAGCACCCTGGGGAGTATGTTAGACGAGATGTTAGACTTACCTAGGAAAGCCTAGTGGTTTACAGAACATTGGTAGGAACCTTTTAAGTGCTTTACACAGCTCTCTAAGGTTTTTGACAGCTTTGTACAGGACGTAGTAAACCCTCGAGTAAACCTCGTAGTAAACGTATAGCAATGGCCTTAAGGCCCGGAAAAGATCTTGAAGAGATTAAACGGTTTCGAAACTTTCGAAAGTTGTTAAATGCAAAAGTACTTTACTGCTCTGGTGTAGAAATTGGGAGATTTTTTTAAAATTGGGGGTTCTAACTGGATTATAAAGCTGGAACTCCCACAAAAGGAAATAAATTACCTACAAACAAGAATTGTAGCTCGGATTGTAGAATTTTTCTCTAACTTGTAGTTAATAACTTCTATAGGTATGTTTTGAATTAATTCCTGTGATAAATTGTGTATTAATCTCGGTATTAATTGAATTAAATTTAAACCTTAAATAAATTTATTACTGCTATGGTTGAAATGGTGTCACTCTATATTAATTCCTTATTAAATTGCATGTTTGAAATTAATTGCCCTATTTATAGACGTCTTAATTAAATGGAAACTGTGGGGCTATCAGCTACCCATAAGGCTAACTAACAATCTCCTCCATTGAAAATAAATTTGTGATTCACCTGAAATGCCGAGGGAAATGCTTACTACGAGGCTTACTAGAATACTTGTGCTTTCTTCTTGCACCCTTACGGCATAGTGAGCATCTCTATGAGTGTAGTTTCCGAGGTAGTTTCTCAGAAAATGAGAGTTACCGGATGCCGCAACCAACAACCACATTGTGAATATCGATTTTTATTAACAAATTAAACAGTTTCCTTGCTTCAAATATACCTAGTGTTTACGAATGATACAAAACCGAGTACAAAATAGATTTATAATGCTCTTTAAGCGCTTTCTAGGGATATAAAATTTGTTTTAATAGAAGGGAAAGAAAGCAGGAAGAAATCTGAGAATAGAACATCCTCGGAAATGTTTCATCGCATGAAAGAAGAGTACAAAGATAGACAAAGCGCATTTTTTTCCAATTTTTCTGAAGGAAAAAGATGGAGGATTTTAAAAGAGTATATACCCTTACAGTCAGGAGGGATTTTTTGCGTTTTTCCTCATTCTTTTTTGGGTACCGGTTGTGCAGTTGCGCCACACTTGGGTTCATAAGGCTGCTAAGTTCACGGCTGGTTCCTGGTGACCTGAATTCTTATTGAAAATTCTTAGTGAAATTTTATACCCGATGACTTCAAATGACGCAATAGAAACAACCTCGGAAACAACTAGAGAAAAATCGGTGGTTTAGATGTCGCTTAACTTTTTCTGTCGTGAATCAAGCACGCGTTAAATGCTATCGCCTGATAATTTTATCTCAGATTTATCGGGATGTGGTGAGGATCAATTGAACCTAGGAAAACAAATGAAAATCCCAGTGAAATGCCTCCCTAGATGATGATATTAACAACCACATCTCGTTCCCCAGTAATTAAGGGTGGTGTAAGAATGACATTTTAGGATTTCTCTCAACACAACCCCTGTAACACACGGGTGCGCGCTGTGTCTTTCACAAACACGTATGGGACCATCTTGATCGTTCAGTTCAGCATCTCAAACTGGGCATCATTTCTAATGAACGGCGAGTTTAGAGTAGATTTGTAGCATCTGTGACCATTTAATTAGATACTTTCCTTAGTAAAAATATCCCCCTCCTTCCCTTACAGTGGGTCGTTTCGGATGCATACTATGAGAAGCCATTGATCAGTGGCGGAACAAGCATTTACTATTAAGGGGTGTTTTTTTTGAGTATACAAAATCAGAAAAAAATGCACGACAAAAATATGATTTATCTCGTGATTTATTTAATTCTCATTTTTACGCTATTACCACATCCCATGGTGAGGGTGCTGCCTCTTGAAATCCGCCGCTGGCATAGATCTCTAGAACTGTCCAGTTTCATTTTTTTATTTTCGTTTAGATTAATAAGTCTTAATGGCAGCAAAACAAAATGAGTCATAAACAAAGACGATCTTTACCTGGAATATTTACTTACGCACGTCATTCCTATGAAAATAAAAGCATGGGTTAACGTCGACTTCAGACTTGACGGTATTAAAATAGTAACGAATAAGAGCTGATTTATGCGTTCATAAATATTTTACGTGCCGATACCTTTATAAGAATAAAGTAAATAGAAGCAGGTGGAAAATAGTTCATTTTTTATTGATTCAAACCCGGTTAACTCGTCAAAGGAGACAAAAAAAGTAAATACACCTGTGTGTCCCTGAAATTTTCCGTAGAACCAACACCCGACGACTTAACCCCTTTAGTAGGTGCTTATCATGGATACTTACCAGTCGACGATACGATGTTAGCAAAAATAAGCAAATTTAAGAAAATACAAGACACTAAATATTTCATTTCTAAATAGTTGCAGTACATTATTATGCACTAACATAAAGTAAATTTACTCGACACTAAACACGTACTGTACACCACCCTCACTGCACTCACACTGTCCTCTTTCATATATCCATTTAATACACTCACAAAGATAATATAAAATGGCGACAATCAGCCAAAGAAAATCACGAGATGGTCGTTTACGTAACTTTGGATTCGTGACGTCATACGACATGCGCCATATTATTTAGGACACCGAGAAGAGAAGACCCCATTTTATACGTTCCGATTGAAAAAGCTGCATACCGACTATAATTGTAGAGATGGAAATACAAAAGCCCTTCAATAACCGATCGTTTATTCTTTACGTTATTGAACAAATCCCAAAATTGTTTTCTAAAATAAGACATTAAACGTAAATTTAAATTAAATTTACTAAATTTAGAGTCAGTCGCGACATCTGATAACTAATTACAGTAGTAACAATTGTAGTAATTCTAATTTGTTTCTGTACCGTTAGTTTAATTTGGAATAAGTAGATATCGTATGACCAAAGTAGTTATCTATTTGCCACTATGCGCCATCTACGATTATTTCGCCGAACACACGTGGCAATTGTACTACAATGTGCTACCATCTACAAAGTTGCTTACCTCAGTTATGGACTTTATCTCATGTTACAGAGGCACGTTACTGTGGCACTCGCAAAGATGTCATTAGCAGTTTTACGGCACAACTTTTCTTATATAAGAGCTTTGAATATAAAATATATTTTATATTCAAAGATAAGAGTGTATATTGGTATGTTGCGTTTTGTCCGTCTGTCCATATAGCTGCCTGAAATTCGCACGGTATTGGAAATAGTCTGTGCCATTCGTTAATCGTTAGTCAATTTCAACAAAAAAAGTTAGTCGTTAGTGTTTGACTCTGCACGAAAAAGTGCACGTCCGCCCCTGTTTTAAGATACAGAGTTCAATCGCTAAAAGAGCATGTATCAAAATATCGGCAGATCAGCAGAGCTTTTAAGATTATTTCAAACTAAATAGTACCTATTTTAAATAAAGCTATTTTATATTTTTTCTATTTCGGTGTCACAATGATGATTTTGTACAACTGTTTTCGGCCTAAAACAGTTGTACAAAGACAGTGATTATAGTCGTTTTCTTTGGTAACTCATCTCTTAAGTTGGCAGTTACTACAAGTAGGTACTTCGTTGGGTACTTCCATGTTTGAACTTCAAAATGTCAGTCTTACTATGCTGCCAACCTAAAACTTAACAGCATAAAAAGTGTTCCCAACATAAAACATGTTAGTTCTAATGTTCCCTATAGTTTCTGATAATGATTTTTTTAATTAAATTAAAGCACCGAAATAGAAAAAATAGTATGAAAAACGCGTGTTACAATGCTTTATTGTAATACTCCTATGTTGCGGACACTCGTGGCTACGCTTCGCGTCGCCACTCGTGCCACAAGATAGTCGTATTACAATAGGTCGCATTGTAACACTTGTCTTTCAATATACTATTGTATTTGGTATTTTAAATAGAAATACCAAACCTATTTAGTATCTTGCATTTAAAATAAATTAACATTTCTTATTTTGTATTTTCTATTTTAAATAGATTTTGAAAAGTATTTTACCCAGCTCTGAGCATATGACATACCAAAACGTTAATTCCAATTACAATTTTTAAAAATTGAGTAGCATAATATTCAGGTGCTGAAATGCTAAACGTTTATAGATAAACCTGCCAAACGGCGATTTAAAAGTTGAGTGTCCCTAACCAATTTAATTTGGTAAAATCCACTATGTTGTATCCAATGAATATTTTAGACCCACCTGGATTGTTTTCCCAACGTAGTATTTGGTTTTGGCTTGCTTGTGTTTTTGCTTGACGTGCCATTTAAACACCATCTTGCAAAGTTAACCATTTTTGAAGCTGCATTCTTTTTTCACATCTAGGATACCCTGATACCCACCACTACAATATTGTGCTCTCGGATAGGTTCATCTTTGAGATCTCGATCTTGTCACTTGATACTGTATTAGATTAATAGTAAAATGCAGAGTATACTTAATGCCGTTTAATTAAGTTAAGCTCAGTGCCAATGCCAACAATAAAATGAAGCATATTTACAAACACACCTTTACATTTAAACATACGTCGGAATGTGGCAACCAGGGCCGTAGCTAGAACGAAAAGTGTAAGGGTGCAAACGAAATGTTGGAGGGTGCATTTATTGTTTACAAAAATGTCTCGAGACCTGTTTGTCAAAAAAGCAAAAAATATATTAAAAAAACTAATTTTATCCAATCCATAACTTCAGATTTCAGATATGTGTGAATCTGAGTTATAATTTAAATTTGTTACTTTTGAATCAAATTGCATAATTCTAATAACCATTATTGCACTCATACTACAAAATGTAGTATGTAGATTATAATTATCAAGAATAATCATTTTTATTCATTTTTATTGTAATAATTATGAACAACAATATAGTAATTGTATATTTGTGATAATTAATTTACAATGTACAAAAATAGCACTATTGTACATTTTTATTTTACGATTCTGATCGAGATCGGTCAGAGGGTGCCAGGCATCCTCTGGCACCCCCCTGGCCACGGCCCTGGTGGCAACCCAGATGTTACATAACTCAAGCGGTACTTTTAAGGGATCAAAGTCAGTCCACGAAATGGGCAACACCCCATTAACTAACAACTATACTTGCTTTTCTAAGAATTAATACAAAAGGTAGGATTTTGTATTATATCCAATATACTGTCATAAGATTGTCCTCGGACTTCAATGGTACTCTAGACTATAGTAGAGTCGTATTTCAATCCTTTGAAGATTAAATTTCTTTGAGGAATACAATAATTATCAACAAAGTTTGGCCCTGTATTGGAGGCAGTATCGTCAAATTTTAACGTAGTAAAATTTCTTGTTTCTTCGCCTATTACCTAAAAGAACATGCCTATCCCCGTACCAATTAGAATTTTCAATTCCACTTGCTACAACAAAGTTTCTAAACCGCGATGATAGCCTTCTAATTCGAGTAGACCTTCAAAGTCAAACCTCTTGTTCCGTCGAAGATCCATTAGAAGTTTGTATTTCTTGTGAGGCATCGGTCCCTGAAGTTTCAGGACTATAAACGTCATCTTCACCCTCGTCAACGTTGTTTGGGAAGGGCGCTAAATGACGATTTGTCACGGTATTCAAAAAGTTACAAAACTGAGGACGAGGCTTCACCATTCACCAGCAGTGAATAACTCGTTGTCTGTTCTTAGTTTAAAGCTCACGAGATCATACAATTAATTTTTCCTCGATAGTGTATGTACAAACGTCCCATAACGATGTGATAAAAATTGTATCCCCAATTGCGAGAGATTATATCAGTAGACTAGGTACTACTAAAGATATTTGGACTTAAACAGTTTGCAAAGGTGCACATGTCAAATCTGTAGAGAAAGCTATTTATGGCAATTAAATTAAAATGCAAACAGTGAATAAATGTGTTCGTAACCTACGCTACGTTTATTGCTTTGTCAGATAATCTTATGGTATTTACTTTGTGGCTATGAAATACATCCTAAATTATATACACGCGGTTTTATTGTGATGTATGTATTATACCTACACTAACATCCACCTTAGTTCGTGCAAAGTAAATTTCCACCACAATGTGTTTGCCTCTCATTTGTTCAAAGATAAGATTACTACACTCCCCTTTTGTTTATCTTTTCAAAGGCTCCAATTTTCTCTTGGAAAATCTCATCTAAAACTTTTTCTGATAAAGTACAAGTTTGTTTCATTTTAACTTAATGTATACGTAAGCCTAATAATTCTAAAAATTACTGGCAACCCGGCATTAAAAAAAAATTAAAATTCGTCCTCAAATGATGTATACAGTGATAACATTTTAATTAACACATTTTTTGTCTATTCGGATGTAATGGCGTTTTGCAAGGAGGGTTTCCATTTATCCCACAAATTTATTATGCTTAACGGAACGGTAGAGATTTTCCGGGTACGGACATTGCACATGTAATAGTTAGGTGCCCGTTTTTTTTTGTGAGAAAACACGCAACATAAACATTAATGCCCCTTTACGTATGGCTATAAATGGATGGAGTAGCTGAAGTTAATTATCGTGGGCGTGTTTATTCGCTTATTTTAAAATATTGCGTTACCTAAACTAACACGCGTGCCACTAACATCTTTGGTAATCGTATTCTTGCTAGGTTTGTATTATATTTAATTTAAATTGCCCTGTAAAAATACGAGTACAAAAAAATGCCACTTTAGTAGATACGCGGTAGAACATGGGTAGAACGTACCTAAATACTAATAAAATAAATAGTAGGTATGAATATGCACTAGTGAGTTACCATGACTGTTAAAGTTTGGCCGCCCATCGAATATTGTTTATTGGGGTCCTCTAATCAAATTTGGAAGGGAGGCCGGTGTATCCACCGGTAACTTCCGGTTTGATGACGTCATAAAGTGCGCAATTTCGCTAATTCGGAAAAATGCTTCTATCTCAGTAACCACTTGTCTGATTTTCATGATCTTGGGCTCATGGGAAAGATATTAAAATAAGACAGAACTTTTATGAGAAGTGCAAATCCCGTTCCGCGAACGGTTTTCGCGAAATTTGCTAAAATTTGAAAAATTTACGAATTATTTTTTTTCACAGGTAAAACGTTATTAATATTTGTAACTTACGCAAAACATGATTATTACCTGCTTCTTTCTCTTTTAAACCAATTCCCATTCACGTTCGGGATTTAAAAAGATTACCAACATCCCTTCTTTCTCAATTTATTGCTGGAAAGTTTGTCGTAAACAGATCAAGAAGCCAATTTTCAAGCATTGCTATCGATCAGAGTCACGAACAACTAAACAAGATAATTAAGGGAAGTGGAGGTCTAATTGGTTTGACCCAAGATCCAATATCAATGATGAACTGGTCATGGTACAGTCACGCTGTGAGTAAAAGAGTCGCAGACTTCAAAATAGCCTCAAACGCGCAAGAAGATGTTGACTACGACCTCTTTCACTACGATGAAGGTCTGAAGAATCAAAATGACTTTCTTACTGATGTAAAGTCTATGACTGATGCTATGCTACTGAGCATGGAAATCCATTCGCCGAGCTTGGAAGCAAACTCAGCAATCTCGAAGGTGCAATAAGGGAAG